CATTCTTTAATCTATTGGATTAGTTTGGTTCATAATTTACAGAAAGACTTCTACTGATGGAGAGTTTAAAATAACGAAACATGAATGGTTCTTTGAAGTCAGATTAAATTAAATTACCTCTGTTGTGTCTTTTGTAGCTCCAGTGACCTAAATTAACTGGAATTACTGTTCAGCTGTACAAGCGCCAGGCCTCCTGGGAATGCCAGGAGTGGCCAGTCCAAAAACAGAATGTCCCTTTACTTTAAAATATGTGGAAATGCCATTTTCACACTAAAGGTTAAGTACTAAATCGACCAAACTAAAACTGAAACCATGCTTAGTAATTAAACTTTCTAATATAAAACCTTATCATAAAAAGAAATGTGAACAAATGATCTTTAAAAACCATCTAATTGTTTATTGTCAAACTGGTATAGAATAAAAGCTGGAATACATTAACTCTTTGCAGATATTAGATTTGAAATCCCTTGTAGTTTACATAAAACAGGTACATACAGATACATCTGAATAAAATTAATGTGAGAAAGTTCAATATTTTTGTCACTAATTTCAGAAAGTGAAACTCGTACATAGATTCACTGCACATAGTGAAATATGTCAAGCCTTTGTTTTTTCTATATTTGATGATTATAATTTACAGATAATAAATACCCCAAATTCAGAATACTGTGAAAAAGTTAAATATTGGAAACTCATGGTGTCACACCCTAATCAGCAAAGCAACTCAAAAACCTGCAGAGGTTTCCTGAGCATCTAAATGGTCATATTATGGGTAAGGAGGCTACATAATCATGGGAAAGGCTGCTGACTTGTCAGATGCCCAGAGGACAGTTATTGGCACCGTGGGTAAAATTATAGAGCATTTTGTTTCCTACTGCTGACAATATTTATGGGGATGCTGATTTTATATTTCAGCAGGATTTGTCACCTGCCCACAAAGCAAAAGGTATCAAAGTTGCTTTAGTGACCATTGTGGTGTTGTGCTTAATTGACCAGCAACCTGGCCATAGAGTATCGTTAAGAGGAAGATGAAAGATTGCAGATAACCTGAAGACTGCTGTAAAAACAACCTGTTACTCCAGAAGGACCACGGGTTGATAACCTCCATGCCACACTCCATGCAGTGATTCCTGGAAAAGGAGTTGCTACCAAGTATTTAGTGCATAGAAATACAAATTTCCCCATGCCTGATAGTTTTGTTTAGAATGTCTTTTTTTATTGATCTAATGTCATTTTATAATTCTGAGATACAGAATTTTGGTCTTGTCTATAAGACATAATCATTAAGTTTACAAAAAATGAACACTTGAAATATCTAACTCTATGTGTAATGAGTCTATATAATATATGAGTTTGTGTTCTTGGACAAACTTTGCTTGGTTGAGAATGCTGATTTTCTTATTTGTGGAGAATGATTCTCATTGTGCTTTGTGAAGAAATATCCTTTCTCCATTTAGGTTCTTGATGTATGAAGTTGAAGAGTCAGTGACTTGAATTTTTGTATTCTATTTATTAGGACTAAAATGCAGGGCTTGTCCATTTGTCTTGCTATTCTTATGGGCTAACATAGCAAAATGGCACCTAAAAATAGTTTCTAATTCCTTTTGTTGGCCTCTATCTAAGCAACGCTCTAAAGAGGGCGTTTCCAACGTCAGTTTCTTTAACTTTAGCTTTGTACGTTTGTGCCCTATGTGTGTGCATGTGCCTTCCCAACTTTGCTCCTTGAGAATTGTAGCAATTAGTAACACCTGGTGGAACAACGCAGCTGTTAATCTTAAAATATGAACTACTTTTCATAAGTACGGTTGTAAACAGAATTGTGGAGGAGCATTGCTGTGAAGATCTGCCGAAGAGCGAGTGTCGGAAAGAGCAGGAGCTTCTTGAAGAGACAGAGTTCATTTTAAAGGCAATTTAAAGGCAAAGTCAAATCTCTTTTATGTTTGATATATGCAGCAGCTTCATGACAACTGAAGGTAACAGAGTTGCTGAATTGAGACATAAAGCGGCACTACATAGCTGGAAAATATAACACCGGCCCCCTTAAGATGTATTGACGGTGCGTTTATTCTTGCTGGATAAGCAACAACGCACACATCACTTATGGAGTGGTGCTTCACTAACAATGTTTTTGTGTTGTCCTTTGAGGTGACATGACTCCTGCATGCAAAAGCTGCATTTCATCAAGTGCTGGTCAGCTTCAATCAGCCTCTGCCCAACCTGTCTCTGCACTGAGTGTGGCCTCTTTACCAACAATGGCACAATTACATGAGTGGACACAAGAGCCTCAATGAGAGGCTGATGGCTTTTCTAAGCCAGGTTTAACGGCATTGAATGAAAGAAACATTAAATTTATTCTGGCTATGTTTTGCCTTTTACACACAACATTTTCTCAGGACATTAAATAATGTGTGTATCTATGTATGTTTAGACTGGTGACCTTTTTCTCTGCAGTCACCCTCACTGATAGCGATTCTGTCACCATATGCAAACAGCTGGCTCTCAGAGGTGGAAAACTCCCTGTGCAAGCTAGGAAAAAGTGGTAGATTGTCTTGTTTGGGGGAAGGTTTTCCATTTACATGATGTGTAATCACTTTGACTAAGCTGACAGAGCTTAAGTTTTTATTCTTTAAGCATTTAGAGGAACACAGGCAGCGTCATTAAAATTTAAAATTCGACAACTCCCTTTAGCTGCACCAGAGAAATTCTTGTCCTAGCATGCACCCCAGCATGTCCCTGTCCTTTCATGTAAGAACTCCTTTCTTGAAACGTATTAAGGCACCGTTCTGAATCGGTATCAAGCCAGGAGGGACTCCTACTACAAACACTCACATTCTGTAGCTGAGATATGCTGTGCGCTGGTGCAGACCAGTCACGAGGAAGCAGCCAGGCAGACGTGTTCCTGTTGTGTGTGTGCCTGTGAGTCAAGCCGTGTCTGAGTGTCTGTACCAGAAATCTGTTGGGAAAAAATCCCTGACACTAATGTGACCCCATGTGGGAATGTTTTTCATTTTGATTGAGGTAGATTTTTGAGGTTTGCGTGTTTCTCGCAGTGCCCAAAAGTCAAAAGTGTGCAGTTAAGTTCGTGTGGTGCTTGAGGAAAGACTGAGGTGGTCAGGGGAACTTTTTATCCCACCCTGATATGATTTCCACCTCAAAGGCTGCTGGGCCGTCAGCAGCAGTGACACTGAAAAAAAAAATAGATCAAAGACGAGGTTCAACCCACCCACTTTGGCTGCAACATGCATGTTGGAAACTTATTCTTGGCAGGCTCTTTGAAAACTAGCATGGAAGCAGAAAGGCCAAAGATACATTTGTGACACAGAAAGTGATACATTATCAACAGTAAATTGATTTATAATGTATAACTAATAGGGTATTATAAGTATTTCACACCCATTTTCTGTTTCTAAACTGGCCTGTTAGAGCCACAAACATTTAGAAGATTTTTACAAGTTTTTTAAAATGTTTTTTTAAAGGATTTCATGTAGTAGAACAAGATAAGACACGATTACGCATAAGGTACTGCAATTATAAGGGGTTCTGAAAAGTTTATTGTGCATTTTTCTTCAACACAACTACCATCTGTCAGTGCAATTTATTCTGCAGCTCTTTTGCAGCCTGTCTCTACCAGCTTCACTCTTTTAGACTGTACTATTTCTGCCCATTTAAAAAAAGTGAGATTCATTAAGTCTCACCACATATTCTCTGCTGGATTTAACACATTATTCTGATTTAATCTAAATCATACTATCATATCTCTAGCTGGACGTTTGCTAGAAGTTGATCTTCAATCCCAGTATCAAGTCTTTAGCAACATTCATTGAGCCTACTATCATTCTGACCAGTTTTCCATCCCTCTCCTGAAAAGAAGCATGATTCTCCATCCACCTTGTTTCACAGGACGTTTCCACTGATGCGGTTTGGAGCCCATTCCAGTTCCCGAGCCTGATTTTGAACCAGTGTCATGTGTGCTCTAGAAGAACGAGATTCACCAGTGCCCAATTTGGTTCTAGTTAGGCGTTGTGGAATACATGATATTTCAGTGCAAACCTGAGACAGGTTTGCACTTTGTGTGCTGTCAGTTTGCACACAAAGAAATAACAAGAAGCAAACACAAAGAAACCTTTTCTGCATCAGCTGTACAGTTTGAATTCTCTTTTGCTGCACATAAAGGAACCTTTGTAAAACAAGGAAATAATGCATTCAGGGCATCAAGGTGTGTTTTGCTATTAGGTTCTTCTTCTGCTTTTATTCCGAGTTGTCTGACGCCACCTGTTGATTATGTTTGGTTCCCAAAACATATGGGAAAGGCAGTTGGTTCTCATGGGAACAAAGCAAAAATCAGCGTTCAGAGGCATATGAACTGAACCAGTCGAAAAACAAGAGTTCTTTCCGTGGAAACCCACTAAATGGGGTACAATATGTGCAATTCTTCCATTACTGATAGAGTTTTGCAAGTAGTCCAAACTTGTTCAGTTTTGTTTTCATTTGGTTTGAGCGCCTTACTATGTATATACCTTAAATGGCTTATGTTAAAATGCAAACAGGGCTTCTTATGGAGTTATTAAAAAAAACTAAGTCATTTTTCCTGGTCATTTTTTCACAAAGGCTACATTTGTAGAGTGAACACCTAACAGTCTCCTGTGCGGTGACTCTCTGCAGCTTCTCCAGATTTACCATTGGCCTTTTGGCTGCTGCTCATTGCTGTCCTTGCTTGCCCATGTCTTAGTGCATGTGTTGTTGTTTTGTTATGTGTTTTGTTTCAAATATTGGACTAAACACAGCTTGGAATATTTCTGATGCTGTCTGTTTGCTGATGTTCTCTAACAAAAGTTTGTATCTGTTTAGCATTAAGGCATATTGACTTATCGAGAAATAATATGATGTATTTAAGCTCATAAAATGCTTTAAATGTGTCCAGGTGGAATACTGAAAGTGGAAAAAAGTGCTTGCCTTTTCTGCTTTGTGTTAAGTGCTGTCCTACATGCTTTTGTTCACAGCAAAAAGCGTCAGGCAAGGTGCTATTTGACCTGGTGTGCTCCCACATGAATCTGATTGAAGGTGGCTACTTTGGCCTGGAGTTTCAAAACCACAAAAGCATGATGGTAAATAAACAACAAATAAAACCTCATCTCAAAATTGCTCACATTATTTGTTCAAAAACTCATACTTGAACAAGCCTTACTCTTCTGTTCTTTCACAGGTTTGGTTGGACCACATCAAACCGATTATTAAGCAGCTTCGACGTAAGTGTTTCAGTATGCTGTTCAGTCGTGTTCTTCCTGGAGCTGATAAGAGCGTAACTGCTCTGTATAATCTCCTTTTAAAATGCAAATGTTCTTTTGTTAATGAACCTGTTCCACACAGGACCGAAAAACACAACCCTGAGGTTCAGTGTGAAGTTTTTCCCCCCAGACCACGCGCAGCTGCTGGAGGAGCTGACGAGGTGAGCAGATCCTCTTTGCTCCCGTTTTCTGGGGGATGCGTTTGTCTTCTTCTTGGCACAGAGACGTACGTTTGTATACATGTCAGTGTGAAAGGTCTCTGCTGTAACTGAGGCATACATGAAACATGGGCCCTGGCTCCACGATGATTTATTCCCCTTCAGGTTATCGGATTAAAATGTCATGACTGCCATCTTGCTGGTTTAGCCCTCTGGAGATTAGCGATGTTGAGCTAATGATTATCTGATTTCTGTTCTGTAGATACGGATGAGCTGCATGTTTTTAGGAGAGCACAAAGAAAAAATTGACATTTAACTAATGAAGCTTAGACAATTGCTTGACTGTTCATAAAGGACAGATATTAGAAAGATGTTTCTATTTACTATTTTTCATTAATATATGATATGTTACTGTTATTTAGAGCATTTAGTGTCTAGTTTGTTTCAAACATAAACACTCAGTAGTTTTAATCTTAGACTTTGTTGTTGCTTGATTTGTTGTTCTGTTTCAGAATTAACTGAGTATTGCATTTCAATAATCTGAACTTAAAAATTGTTTTAACCCTTTGTGATATTAAAACAATATATTTCAACATGTCTAACGAACAGCTAAAATCTGTAAAGACCCCCACTAAAAATGCTTGTAATGGCTTGTTTTAGTTGTACTATTATTAGTTGTTTTACAAACACTTGCCAATAGCATGGTAAGTAGCATTGTGCCTAGATATTTTAGCTTTCCAAATGTAATTTTATTTCTAATATTTCAGTCATGCTCTACAAAAAAAAAAAAAATCACAATAAGTTTAATTTTCAGTAAATAATTTGGAGTGAAGTTTCACCAAAAAATTTGTTATAAGGCGAATCTGCAAATTCTATACAGCGACTAGGCAGGAGTCCACTATTATTTCTAGAGTAAACCTGCTCATTTCTGTGAATATTGCCTCCTTTTTTTACTTTGATAAGATCTCAATATTTGGGATCTTATTGAGATTAAATCCTGACAGAAATGGTAGCAATGAGGTTTTTGCTGATGTTTGTTTCAAAACATTGCTACGTTAAACCATTATCTGAAACTGTGGCTCCCCTTCCCAGTCATTAATCTTGAAAGTCCTCTTGTTGCACCAACAAATTAGCCACAACTGTATTAATCCTTTAATCGTGTGGCTTCCGCTTTTGTGAGATTGGGCGGGAAGGATACCAAAGACATCCCTCTCCCCAGCAACACACTTTAGCTCTTTACCAGATCTGAAATCTTGTCCCTCCAGAAAATTCTGGGCCTGCTGCTAGTGTTGAAGAAAAATTTTTTTTTCTGTCATAAGTCATGTCTCATGACCACAGAAACCGACCAGTAAGCAAGAGTTTTAGTTTTTCACCGAGCAACCATTTTGAGCACAATACAGTTTAAAATATCCAATTGCCTTTACAGTCCTGTAATAATGGACGAGAACTATTTGTGCAGAAACTTGTTAAACTTCAGTTTCAGAGCCCTATTTAACAACATCAGCATCAATAAAATAGATTATAAATTTTATTACTATTCTTAATATTGTTCATTTGCATTATATCTCTAAAAACATCTATTATATATGCTCTTTTCAGATGTCAATATCTACTTAATTTAGCCCATACATGTTGGCAAAACAGTTATTTTTTATTTTTATTTTTTATTTTTTTGTGATAGACAAACTCAGGCAACAATGGGTTAAAGTATATGAGGTATGAGGTATTTTTAATTAGTTCAATAGTAATTCCATTACAAGACATGAATGAGACAGTTGTAGATGTTTAGCCAGTATTTGGTGATTCTTATTTTTTATTTATTGACTATTATAAATCTGTGGTTCTTTTTAGTTGTATTACTTTTTCATTTGTGCATCAATCCAAAACTACAACCCAACAAACAACTTAATTTAGTTAGACTGCACAAACAAAATTCACCTTTCTATGTTTTTGTAACAATAAAAAAGTTTCAGTAATTTTTTTTTCTTTGCCCGTAATACAAAGCAACAAATGAGTGGCAGTGCAACTCTGTGATCCATGTGACAAAGAAAACAGTGTTTTTCTACTGACAAATTTCTCAAGTGCCAAATTCAATCTAGAGTTCATTTTTAACCCTCAATCACCTCTGCAGACTTGTTAACATGATATCTATTTTTGTGTTTTGTGCCTAGGTACCTGTTTGCCCTCCAGATCAAGCAGGATCTCTCCAGTGGACGTATGATGTGCAACGACACCAGCGCGGCTCTGATGGTCTCCCACATCATCCAGTGTGAGACTCGCGGGGCAGTTCTATGCGCTCGGCTCAAGCCACCAGAGCAGTGATAAATCTGACAACTGTCTTTTATAGATACACTGCTGCTCTTTTCATGTGCAGCTTATCAGCAAACATTGTCATGCTGCACACGGTGCAGCATTTCAAATTGATTAACATTGTGTTGCCATGGAGACCCCTCGGTCTAATGTCTGAATGTAATCTTGCAGAGCTGCAGCAGAGCAACGACTCATTTCCATTGCTGGTCATATCTGGACCTCTTTCTTCATCCTGTTGCGATCGAAGCGCGTTTGCTCGTTTCTCCCCATGTAGCATCAACTCCAAAGCTGACTTCTTTATTTTTTGTCCTTTTTTTTCCTTCTGTTTCAGCTGAGATTGGGGACTTTGACGAGAGCCACTGCCGCTCACACCTGCTAAACAACAACTACATTCCAGATCAGATGACCCTGATCGATAAAATCATGGAGTTTCACTCAAAGCATATGTGAGTGTCTGATCTTTAAACCACGGTTAAAATAATAAAACAGGGTCAGTGGGTGGACTGACATTATTCTCCTCGGTCATGAACAGGAAATGTTGTTGCAGACTTTGTTATTGTCCCACTGGGCTATTTTATTACTCAAGTGACACATTCAGGAAAGCAGCCACTGAATGAATGGGTTATTTGTCAGAGTGCTACATACAGCACTTTAACATGCAGTATATAATCTTACAATGGCCAGGTTTTTATAACTTGTTTTATAGCTTAATGTAAGTCTTTGGGGCTTTAAAGTCTTCCAGCTTTGCACATCTAGAGACTTTGTTGGCCTTTTTCTGTGCAAAACAGCTTGAGCGCAGTCAGATTTCATGGAGAGCATATGTGAATGATTTTCAAGTTTTGTCTCTAATACATGGATATACTTTGAACTATACCAGCTGATTGCAGATTTGGCAATCTTTAAAACTGCAGAAGATTTTATCAGGTTTTCCTCTCCACAATTTTGACCAGCTTCTCTTTCCCTGATGAAGAAAAACGAAGCAAAAGGCTACAGTGTCCCAAAATGAGATTATAAGCTTCTTTTAGATCACCAAGTGACATGCACACGCACACACAGACAGCTGTCTTTAGTTGGGTTAGTGGGATGAAACCCAGTTTTTTACTCTATTTAGAGATGACTGATGCAGAAGTTTGAGAGAAGTGAATTTGAACTTGGCCTTTTTTGTCTGACTACTTTTTCATTCTATCTAGTTTAATGCCGTTGGGAGTATATTACTGGAACCCTTCCAGATCTCCTCACACCATCCAGCCACTCCATCAAGGATTTCTCATAACTTATTTAAGAAGAAGCTTTGCCAACACTTCAGTGGCCGCTGCGTCTGTGGTCTGCCACTGCAGCTTCTGACAAGCTTCAGTGCTCTGTGAAGCTGCAGCTTCAGAGAGCTGCAGTTTACCACAGCTGATAACGATATCTGTGGCTCCTCTGGCCAGGTGCCATGTTGAGTTGAATCCTTTAAGTGGCACACAGGAAACAGGAAGGGTTATCTACGAATGAGAATTAGGAAAGTTAGTTAAGGTTTGCTGCTCCTTCCTCCAGCCACTATTTGTTCTTCAAAAATCCAACCCTAGGAACTTGTGTGACCTATATAAAATATAAAATGTAATGTACACACACTTTTAAGCCTAAAGTTAGTCACACCCCTGATAGAGTTGCATTTAAAATTCTTTTTTATTCAACATTTTTTTCTCTATGGAAAAGTTTCAATATTTTTTTGTTGTTGTTATTTGATAACAAAACAATATAGAAGGGGTATTATTTTAAAAAAGTTATTTATTTACGAAAAACTTTATTGGCATTTCAGCCACCAAACTGATGAAGCCCTAAATTATCTGATTCTGGTCACCTGCCTGTTTTTTTTGCATCTTCATCTACAGTGTTTTTCAATGCCTTTGTGATTGAAGAATCATGCGTTTAAATGTACTTTACAGGTATAACTCTCCTTAAAAATATGGATGAAACAATAGCAGCTGTAAATATTTACATTTATGTGTGTGTTGTAGAGGTCAGTCACCAGCAGAGTCAGATTTTCAGTTATTGGAGGTTGCTCGCAAGCTGGATTTTTACGGGATTCGGCTGCACCCTGCCAAGGATCGGGAAGGTTCGAAGTTAAGTCTGGCTGTGGCGCACACAGGTGTTTTGGTCTTCCAGGTAGCTTCACACAGACATTAATGTGAACATCAATTTGCTTGTTGCGTTTCTCAGTTATTCTCACTTTGTCAAAAAAAAAAAAAAAAAAGGCTTTAAAAGGCATTCAATTTTTCACCATCTTTAGACACACACGAGGATCAACGCCTTCAACTGGTCCAAAATACGCAAGTTGAGCTTCAAGCGAAAACGTTTTCTCATCAAGCTAAGGCCAGATCTAAATGTATGTTGTTTCATTATACCCGGAGAACACAAATTGCTTCAGGGTTGTAAATTATTTCTAAATGTTTTTGCAGAGCTCCTATCAGGACACGCTAGAGTTTTTGATGGCCAGCAGGGATTGCTGTAAAGTCTTCTGGAAGATCTGTGTGGAATACCATGCCTTCTTCCGCCTCTTTGAGGAACCTAAACCCAAACCCAAGCCTATGCTCTTCACACGAGGATCTTCCTTCAGATTTAGGTGGAGTTTTTTTTCTTCGACAGGACTGCAAGCACTTAACTTTCCTAATAGTCTACTACCGCCCTCGTAGAAACACTCATTATTATTTCTCATGTGCTAATGCTGCAGCGGTCGCACACAGAAGCAGGTGATTGATTATGTGAGGGAATCAGAGTTCAAGAAGATCCCATTTGAAAGGTAGGGTCTAGACACATGCTGGGCATTCTGAGTTCAAGTAAAGACTTTCACCATGTAAAACACTGACCTACATCATCCCATCTGGCAGGAAACACAGCCGAGTCCGATACAGCAGTAGAGTTCAACACAACAGTCGCCTGTCGCCGCTGCCTTCTCCTCGCCACCATGAAGTGCCATCAGAAGTTAGTCTTTCTATGCATAATAAATGTACTCAATAGATTTGTTGCTTTATATATATATGCCTGTGTTATTCCTCTTTCGTTATTCATGAACGTTGTCTATGAATTTATAAATGTACCTTTTTGCTTGTTTTCAAGTAAATATTAACCCCAAAAGCCCCAGTGATCCATAGTTGGGTTGGATAAATTCATAGTTCTTTGCCTGACATCCTGTTGTTTAATATAAATAAGTAGAACTGGAAGCTTCTGAAGACAATTTTGCAACACTTTTCACACACTATTTTTCACATTTTGTCACGTCACAACCAAAAACGTTCCTAAATTTTAAAGGGCTTTTATGTGTAAAGGGCTTTTCAACACAAAGCAGTGCATAACTGTGAAGCAGAATAAAATGATGCATATTTTTAGGAATATTAACTGAATAAATAGGGAGACTTCCCTATTTTCCTCTAAGATGCCTAAGTCAAATCCAGTTGAACCCTGAATCCGCCGATACATAATCTAAAGTTATTATGAAATAAGGTTGTTAAAATACTAACATTTTAGTGCAATACTAAGATAAATATGCAATATTTTTAGGCGGTTGTTGATAAATAATGAAAACAATGACAATAGTTTTATTACATTTTGTTTAAAGATGGAACCTTTCTAACAATGTTAGCATATTTATTTTGTCTTTATACATGTAGTCTTCATTAAATTGAGAAAATTATCAGCCATTTAGAAAACAAAACTTTCGCTGTTGTGGAAGTAGAAGTGTTATTGACATTTTTAAATGCCACATAAACATCTGAGTGTTCAGGTTACATACCCACTTATCAACATCCTTTCCTGTTCATCTGTTGCACAAGAAAAAATACCTCTTTTTGAAACTTTACTTTCATTTTTTTAACAAAAAAGGTTTCTAAGGTGCTTATGGGTGCACTCACTATATCAAAGTAGTTTCACCTTGACTCTGAAGGGAACAGAGAATTGAGCGTCTATGAGTCTGCTGTGGAAAATTGTGCTCGAGTTTGGGGAAATGGGAACAACTTAGTAAATGTCAACAAACTAATTATCAAATGTTGCTTTTCTATAGAAGTCTGTCAAGCCTCAAAAAAGTGCCAGTTTCCACCACGTTGTGCTGGTCTATTACATTAAACCATCATAAAATACATTAAGATTTGGGGTTGATGTCATTGCACCAGCCTGCTTATTACCTTAAATGTTTACTGGTCTTTGTGCCATTTATGTTTATTTTTGCTTCTTTATTTCTTCATAATATCATAACATATCATTGTGACTGATGCTAAATTAGCTATTTTGTTTTGCTGTTTGGTGTTTCAGTCCTGTACATTTGATCGCTTAAACGTACATAAATTTAGTCAAGCACAAGGAACTAACAATATTTTCAGGCGAGGAAGAATTGATTTAAAATCCCCAGTTGTTATTAGTTGCATAATTTCTGAAACTCTTTTTTTTTTCCAACTCTGTCAGAGTGGTGTTCCTCAGGACTTCTCTTCTTCTCCTCCTCGGCGTCACTGGAAGGAGTCGGTGCTTGTCAGTGCCGAAGACCCAGCAGCTTCACGAACTTCAAAGATGAGCCCAAACCATCAAAGAAATGGCCACGAAGACAGAAAGGAGTCCATTTCCAAGCCTGAGGAATCAAGAGGATCAACACGACAGATGTCCCCAGAACATCCGAGCCAAGGTCCAGCATCTTGGTTTGCCAAAGGCAGCAGCTCAGCCATCAGTTGTGTAGTTAGTGAGTTGAACATGGGAAGGGAGGAGGCCAGCAGAACAAACCAGAGTTATGGTGAGGACTTCAATTTGCGTCTGGGTTCAGGTTCCAAGCAGGAGCATTTACTGGGTAAGATGAAGTACAGGGAATCTCCTTTGCTCAACATGAACCATGATCCATATCGGTCTCTCACGCAGTCACGTCCAAAGTTTGACCTTAGTCCTGGTTACGGCACAGTGGGGAAAATCAGAGGCCATAACAAAGAGAGGCAGAGCAGCAGCCCCCTCCCAGGTCAACATACGTTTGGCTCAAGGAGTGTTATCTCCAATCCTGCCAATAAACCCACCCACCAAGCACCTTCTCTCACTCACACTGAGCAGAATGGCTACACGGCCCCCCTGTTTAATGACACAAGATCCTCCCCCCGCCCGAGCCGATCGCCTCGCTTACACAATCTCCAAAAAGTACATCACACCTCATGTGCAGACCCACTTCAGGGTGCATCCCCTCCAGGGCCAGATTCACGCCCGGTTATGTCTCGGGCCGAGCGCATGGCAGCTCTTGAGCGCCGCATGACGGCCAACGGCCTCACGGCTCCGGGGAGGTTCCGGGCCGGAAAGAAACGGTTAGGACAGGTCGGAGTCAAACATGTGGAAGCCGTGCAAATGTGTGAGGGCTCCACCACCAGTGGGTCAGAATCAAGCGAGTCTGAGGGAGAGGACAGAGAAAACTGCAGCAACAGTACAGTGGAGGCTAGCTCTCCTATACCAAGAAACAAATTCTCCTTTGGGAGCCTCCAGCTGGACGAGGAGGCAGGGGATGAGGACGGATGCCATAATTTTAGTGATGAGGAAGGTGAACAGATTTTCAGCTGTTGACACATTAAAAAACCTGAGAAGGGAGTCTGATGCTTGTATCTGGAAATCCTTGTTGTGTAGAAAAGTTTTCTTCTGCATTTCAAAGATTCACTTCTTTCTGTATTATTTTATATCAAAACAGACACTCACAGCTGCCTTGTTAGGTTGCCACACTGAATAGTTACCTGTTGAGCACCGCAGAAAATGTGGTACTGATTATATCAAAATGAAACGCATAAATGGCAAAAATGTTGACTTTTAAGAAAGTTTCAAGAAACTGCCTTTTTAGTGCCTTTTAACCTCTGTCAGTAAGATATGTGTCTATTGTCTATAATCACATGTAATGTCTCCTTACGGTTTTCTATCCAGTACTGACTACCATGGATTTTTTTTAGTGCCTTGCAAAAGAATTCATAACCATAGAACTTTTTCACATTAATGTCAAATTCTTCTGAGATTTTATGCTGTAACCAACATGAAGAAGTGCAAAGCTGTGAAGCGGAAGCCAAACAATGCAGAGTTCTCAATATTTTTATCACAGATGCTATGCGAAAAAATGTGTGCATGCATTTGTATTCAGCCCCCCATCCTCTGATACGTCTAAATAAAATATTTTTCCTGTCAAAGTCACTAAAAGATAAATTAATTGGTTGAATAAGAAGAAAAGTAAAAAAATATGGCAGATTCAGTTTAATACTTTGATGCAAACTCACTTATCCCTTCACAAGTCAAGTAAATTCTAGCTATTCTCTTTCTATTTGTAAAAATATTGGGAACCAGATCTTCTTTTCCTTCCGCTTCTAAATTATGTGCAGCTTTTTGTTGGTCCATCATCTAAAATTCAAATAAAATTAAATTTGTGGTTTTGTAATTTCAACATTGTAATGACAAAATTTAACAGATTTAATAGGTTTAAGCACTTTCGCAAGGCACTGCTTTGTTTTAGGACTCAAAATGTCCATTTGTATGTCATCAGTTAAGACTGAATTGGCTTTTATCTGTAGCTATCTAGCAGGTCATCTTTCTGACTAGGATGCAGAATCCAATGACATCCTATAGAAAATATCTACAATTGATATATATTTAGTATTTGTTTACAGAGTCAGTTGTTCTTTACTAATCTGGAGCAAACTTTAAATAGTTTGAGTCCTGTCTCGTATTGAAATGTCAGCAATATGCTAAACATACCTCATAGCAACAAGTAAAATAGATGTAATGTGCAAGTAATGAGCAGCTTCTTGATCAGGTTTTAGTGAATAGAAATGTGTGCTATAAGATCATTTCTCATTGTCTTGCATGTTTTGTTTTGTTTTTTTTTTTTGCAATAGTCACTAAGCAGAGTTTGCAAAAATGGTACTGCACTTTTTTGCACTTGTCTTTTTTTTAGTGGTTTAATTTGCAATAATCTCCTTGTTACACATGTCTTGTTTTCCTTTTTTATGTCCAATGTTCACTGTCTGCATGAAGCTAGTTTTTTTTCCTCATCTGTGCATTTCTGTGCTGTGTGGAGGGGGAAGCACGGTTTTCATTCTGTGGGTTCCCTTTTCTGCAGTGATCTGATCACCTGACTCACCATTAGATTATTTCAAAGCAGGAAAATAAGAGCTTGGCAGAGTCTGTGTTTGTGTGAAAGACACTTTAAGGGCAACATTACCTCAAAGTATAATGCCTCTGGGTTCACCCATCATAGCAGGCTGCTTTCTGTGGTGCTCCTTGATATTTTTAGCTCTGGCATAGACACAGATGGTGATTTTATGAGATACACAAGTATGCAAAGTAGTGCGAAGGAAAAGGGATACATGGTTTTACATTTTCTTACAAAAAAAATCAAGAATCAGTTGCATACATTTGTACTTCTCTTACTCTGATACCCTCAAACAAATACAGTCATTTTTATTACACTTCACAACTATGCACACAATCAGTTGACTACATGTTGGTCTGTTGCATAAAATCCATTGACATGTGTTAAGGTTTGTGGTTTTAACTTGACAAAATATGGGAAACATCAAAGTATATTAAAACCTTTGCGAAGCACTGCAGGCTTGATTTGATTAGCTTCCTGCTTTTATACCCGTAACTGATGTAGCATGAGTAAACAACCAGTTCACTGCAGAACCGGGAACATCATGAGGAGCACTAACCCATGTAACATTCATCTTTGCATGTCCCAGCTTTATGGAAAAGACTCTGTGTGTGTGTGTGTGTGTGTGTGTGTGTGTGTGTGTGTGTGTGTGTGTGTGGGTGTGTGTGTGTGTGTGTGTGTGTGTGTGTGTGTGTGTGGGTGGGTGGGTGGGTGGGTGGGTGGGTGTGTGTGCGTGCATGCGGGTATATGTGTGTGTTTTCAACCACTGGTGTCCTTCAAGGTGTGTTCAAAGTCCAGGATGGTGGCTTGATGCACAAAATCCTGTTCTGTCCTACTTGCATGTCCTCTGCTGTATGTACTGTAATATATATGTTGCTCTATCGTTCACTCCGCTGTAATTTATCTGTTCATTTTCTGTGTGTGCAGCGTGTGATCGGAGGATGTGGCTGTAAATCTAGGCTATTAAAAGCAACCTAATAAACTATATATAAAGCATTTTTACAGCTCTCTGTCACATGGTGAAACTAGTCTTTAAACTGATTTGCATACGCTTGTCTCTGTAATGTTTCCAGCTGTAGCTGTTAAAATATTAGCCGAACCGACAGAAATCAGATCAAGATTAGTTTGTATTTTTTTATGATGGCTTTTTCATGTTTTTTTTTTTTTTTTTTTGTGGTGCTTGATTGCCATTGGTGTTTGTTTTGTAAAGTCTGGTGTCAATAGTAGATGTTAGATCCTTTTCATCCTCTAGTTTTAGCGAAATTGTTATTTCACACTCGTTTGTAGCATCGGTGCAGATGTTTATGTGACTCATTATTGAGGAGGTAGTTCTGAAACTAGTTTGCGTTCTGTTTTACTCCTGCTGATGATGGCACAGAGAGAGACAGAGAGGGAGATGTTCGTGTTGCAGCCACAACATAGTAAGTAAGCTGAGTGAACGTTGTCTGAGCAGATGACAGTAGTTAAGTGGTTCTTCTCGATCAGCCTGCTGTATGTGTCAGCTTGTCCCTTTATTGACGTGGTATAAAATGGCTGTCGTAACTGTGAGTCATGACTGATTTTTTTTTTCTTCATTTCTTTTTTCTCTCTAAACAAAACCCCCCTTACCAGTTCTCCCTCACTGCATTTATGATTTAGCATTAGTGGATTGTTAAATAGCTTGGATTTCATTAGCACTCTGTCATTTGATTTGGTTTAAATGTTTCCTCAAATGGTAAAAATACACTGAAATGTCAAATTTGGTTATCTTCCAACAATGTGGCAAATTGCACCCATCTGGGCTAAAATTATTTAAATGGAGGATCTTTTCCACAATTATATCCCTGTGTTTTTAGATTGACACAAACTGATACTTTTCTTCCTCCCTGTGGATTTTGTTTTTCTGTGGCTTCACGACAGGTGTGGCTCCCCACAGCCCTCCGCCGTCCGGACAGCCCCATGGGATGGTGAACGGTCAGAAGTCCCTGGAGTTGTGCAGCCACAGTCTCGACGGCCGTCAGCCTTCGCCTCTGACCAGCCCGCTACTCAACGACGCCTGCAGCATTCGCACTGATGATGAAGATGAGGTCCGGAGAAAGGTTTGTAAACTAAGCTCTCAAACCTTTAAAGCCTCAAAAAAATAAATAAATAAAAAATTACCAGGATTTCTCTATATTTTTGCTTTGTCCATATTCCTATATGCTTTAAAAAAAGCATTCCAACCACCTGATGCTTTGCCATTGGGATGGTGTTTTCAGAGTATTTGGCAGCGTGACCACTTTTGGCTTTCATTTTGCTAGTCTTCCATTCAGACCAAAATTTTGCACTCTCCAACCTATAGCTGTCCTGTCAATAGTCTTCCACCTAAGTTGTGGACCTCTGCAGCTCCTCCTCTGATGAATGGTACTAAAACCCCTGTCTTGCTAGGTTTGCAGCTACAGTGTACTCTTGGCAATTTTGGTTGAACAGTTCTTCATGAAATGTTCAAAACTAAAGAATATATTTCACAAGCTTCCCCTGTTTACAACTTCTTGCATAATTAACGCTGACATTTACAGTTTCATATTAGACTTAGAGGTATAAAAGTAAAAAAGACTGAATTTAAAATTTATTTTATTTATTTATTTATTTTTATTTAAAACAAATTTAAGACCCATGCATTATTTTTTCTCATGTCATAATCGGGTTCTAGTTTGTATTGGTCAATTGCATGAAATCCAAATCAAGTACATGTTAGTTTGTGCTTATGATATAAATCACAAGGTACTTTATATGTCTACTTATATGTCCTGATGAATGTAACTAAAAACAGGTGCTGCTACCTTTTCAGTATATTAACTGATGTTTGCTATCCAGAGGTTTCCCACTGATCGAGCCTATTTCATCGCCAAAGAGCTGCTGACCACAGAGAGGACATATCTGAAGGACCTGGAGGTGGTGACTGTGGTAAGATGAGCATACATCAGCATGCCTCTGCTGTTTGCTCGCTCCCATATGCTTGTCTGCTTGGGGAGAAGCATTGCCATTGTTCTGTTTTAGCAGCTTCGTTGCAACACGACCACCAAATCACAGAGATGGGCAATGACACACACAAACACTTTGGCAGAAGCGATTTCATTTTTTATTCATTCCCCACTCCTGAGCTCTGAAATGCATTTATCCATGTCACACGAGGTGGTGAATACTAAACCGTGTTTGTGTTTAAAGAGGATGTTGGATTTAGCAGCGCGTTCCCTCTGTGTGCTTATTTATTCGATTCTTTCAGATTTTATTGGCTGGATGCAAATGCGCACACCCAGCTTCGGTTTGATACCGTCTCAGAGAGAAAACCTGGCAGATAAACAGGATATTAAATGTGTGTCTTGCTTCTTCTACTGTAATTGAGGTTGATCATCTGTTACCTGATTTATCACATGAAGAAAATGGTAGCTTTTCTCATTTTGGAGGTTTTACTCACATTTAGCTTGAATTCATTTAATCATTTAACTGTATATGTTCATGTGTTTGCATGAACATATCCAATCAGTATGTGGGAAGTTATAAACTTCCCACATACTGATTGGTGTTGCTTTGCTGTTGAGAGTGAAGTCATTGAATAACAGCTGGAGCTTTGTTTTCAACCCTTATCAAGAAACACTTATTTTCCAACAGCCCATTTCCTTTTCCCATTAGAGCTTCTGAATGAAGCTGCTCTCAGTCTGTTGTGCTACACAAAACATGCTTCTTTTGCTGCTAACCTGTCTTAATGAAACAAGCGAGTAAGAATGACGATTGATTCTTCTTTTCAACGTGAGTCAAGTGAAGGATTTAGACGTTGTCACAAAGCTAAAGTTCATCAACAGGAACACAGATAAGTGATTCTGCAAGCAAGTTTCTGTAATCATTCTAAGCAAGTTTGTGTAATCTAACTTTATTGATAGAGCACTTTTTATTCAGTCAAGTGTAACACAGAGGTCTTTGCAGAAGTGGATATCAGGAGGATGGATAAAACAGAAATATATTAAATAAATTATTAGCTGAAGTAATTAAACAGTATAAACAAATGACTATATTGGTGTTAAAATTATCATTAAAACTGAGAATTAAAGAGGATGAGGCTATGTGGAAACTTAATCCACACTAATCAGATTAGTGAGGAAAGACTAAAGATATAGATGCATGTTTTTATTTATAGAAAAAGTTTAACTTACTACCTTTCTTGAGCTTAAATAGCATAACACCAGAATGCTGACAGTAAAGTAAACATATTAAAATTAATGTTAGTATGCTAATACATAAATGTTGGTATTAACAATTTGCAGAAGTCCCCACTTGAATCTGATAGAGAAACTGTGGAGGGTGTCAACCTTTGTGACGGAATACCTGAGACTTCATTATACAAGATACAATTCATCTAATAATGAGACTGTAAAATCTGTTCCCATGCGTTAATCTGCTTTGCAATTTGTGTTTTTCAGTCTTTCCGGAGTGTCGTGGAACAAGACGAGGCAACCCCTGACTCCCTGAAGAACACCATTCTCTCCACCTTTGAGCCGCTCCACAAGTTTCACACTGGTTTTCTTCGCGAGGTGGAGCAGAGGCTGGCTATGTGGTGAGCCCCACTTCACTTTTAAACTACACTCAAGGTCTTATTTGAAGGCTTCAGAATGCAGTTTGGATTTGGCCCATTTATAAAAATTAATTTATTTATTATTTTATTTGTTTTTTTTTTTTTTAAAGGTAGCAACCCAAGCCGCTACCATCTCCATTGCTCCAAAAATACTGGCCTGTGCTTTCCTGTGGGTTTGTGCTGTCTGATGTGCTTTAATGATGCTGTGCTTTATTGGGCACACACACAGCCCCACATGGAGACTGTGATGCATAAACACAGTCAAGCTGTTACAATTTGCAGGCGTTTACTGGCAATTGTCAGATGCTAGAACTTCACACGAAAGCTTAAAATGATAGCGCACCCTACTTCACTGATAAAAATTACAGTCAGATGTGAATGCAAATCTCCTTGGCCTACATATGTCTTTTGCTTTTGGCTTTGTGTATTCAAATATATAAGTGAAACTGTTGTGAACGACATTGGAAATCTATCTGGCATAGATGAATCAGGATGTCTTTCAAACACAACTGTATTTAGTAAAATAATGAATAACCTGACTGAGTACAGTATTTAGATCACTAATAGTCCACAATCCTGTGTGGGAGATTTCATGCTCAAGGGAGACACCTGCTGGTGGAAGACCAAATTTTATTGGTTTTGCCTTTTGTAGTTGTAATGGGAATTTCTTTTGAATTGAGTTAAAATAAAAAAATAAAAAATGTTGAATAGTTAATTAATGCTCTGCTACCTGCTCACATCAATATTAATAAAATGTGTTGATGCATATTGGAGGTGAAGTTAACTTAATTAAAAAATTCACATTTTGAGCCACAAATTACAATTTTTCTGGATATTTTATGTCATAGATCAAAAAAAGTACTGAATTCTTTGTATGTGAAGAGTAAATGGCAGATGGTTTTACTTATTATTATTATTATTATTATTATTATTATTATTATTTATTTATTTTTTTTCAGAAATAAAATTCAATGACACTCATCCCCATTTTATTCTGACACCCGTAAAGCAAATCCACATCAACCAATTCAGAAGGGTTCTGTGAAAGGTTCAGAAATTTTTTAGATGACATCAGTGAAGACCAAGAAACACGAAAGACAGTTTAGAAGGGTCAAGTTAAAGAGTCAACTTTCTTGTAAATCATTTAAGAAGCAAAAAACACAGAGAAGAAGATAACTTAATTTTGCATGCAACATGCTGCATGTGCTAATATCTAAACCGGCACATTACCCTGGACATGCCATCCCTGTACTCAAACATGGTGAGGGCAGAATCATCCTATGGGAATGGTTTTGTTCATCGGTAACATAACACCTAGTCAGAATTGACAGGAAGGCAGAGAATCCTTGAAGAGACAAAAGACTTAAGATTGTGGTTGAGGTCTACCTCCCAGCAGGACCGTAACATACATTTAATGGAGAAATTTAAACCAAGGTTTGCTTGTGTTAACTTTATGTCATTAAAGTTCAGACCTAAGTTAATTTGTAAATATTTCTGAATGTGAAAATTTGGTGGATAATATCCAAAAAAGGTTTAGTAAGGGGTGACTCTATGAGCATAGACTCAGAGGAGTTGGATAGAAATACATGTCAGAATTTTATTTGTTAAATTTAAAAACCATACATCGTTTTTCCCCCATTTTGAAATTTGTGGTTGCAACATGCCAAAAATGTGGAAGTGTTCAATCTCTACATCAAAGGAAAAGTTAGTCACAAAAGACAAAAAAATAATAATAATGAAATATTTGTTCTTTTTAGCTTTAAATCTTGCATAATGTTCTTGTGTATTTGTAAAATTGCAATACTATTTTTTTCCTTTTTAGGGAGGGACGTTCCAATGCACACATTAAAGGAGACTACCAGCGCATTGGAGATGTCATGCTGAAAAACCTTCAAGCTTTGAAGGTGACTCCTGACCTCAGGTTAACATGGATGCTTTTGAAAACCAGCAGTGTGTCATCCTCATGTATCACACTTAATGCTTGCAGCCTCTGACGACAAACATGCACAAGCACTCTGACATCCTCCTGGAGCTGGAGAAGGCGTGCAAAGCGTCACATAGGGTGGAAAATTTATGCAGAGACTTTGAGCTGCAAAAAGTGTGCTACATCCCCCTGAATGTCTTCGTCCTGCGACCTCTCCACCGCCTCATTCACTACAAACAGATCCTGGAGCGCCTGTGCAAACACTACCCAGCCACCCATGAGGACTTCAGGGACTGTAGAGGTGACCAGAACTTTTAGAAACTCATTCGGCATTTTTCCCTGGTTTAATCTAGCAGTAGTTATGTGATATGCATTGTTGTTCTCCAGCTGCTCTGGCAGATGTTTCTGAGGTGGTGGATCAGCTCCAGGGGAGTCTACTCAAGATGGAGAACCTCCAGAAGCTCCTGGAGCTACAGAAGGATTTGCTCGGTGTTGACAATCTTGTGGTTTCTGGTCGCGTGAGTCTGAATTATAACAGGAAAAATATTTGCCCAGCTTTTAAGACATGCACACACCAAGTAGTTCATTGCTTTTTTTGCCTTTTCAGGAGTTCATCAGGTTAGGCTGCCTTAGCAAACTGTCCGGAAAAGGCCTTCAGCAGCGAATGTTCTTTCTGGTAATGTTCATCTTTCTTCAGCTCCTAACACTAATCCAATTATTTAGTTGAGTGATCTCAGCAGAATGAAATGATGCTTTCATCTGTTCCTGCTTTGTGTTATCCAGGTGGTGTTGGCAGCTTCAGTGCTACAAGCATGCAACACATGTCTAGTTTAATGCCTTGAAAACATACGCAGATTATTTATTCAACGCTATAATGGTTTTTATTTCTCTGTCCCGCTCTGTTGTTTCCTTGGCGACAGTTTAATGATGTCATTTTGTACACGAGTCGAGGGATGACACCGACCAATCAGTTCAAAGTGCATGGGCAGCTGCCTCTCCGTGGCATGACAGTAAGTGCTGACTGGCTGTCACCAGTTTGTCATTACTGCAAAAGGAGCTGTGCTTGTTCCCCTCTGGAAATACAGACACTGTCAGGACAACCAGAACGTACATTTCCTTTTTATCCTCTCTCCATCCTCCTCTCCCACTCTTGTCTATTTTTGTTGCCTGCTGTCCCAGATTTTCGGAGCTCTTTAATGTCTTGTTCTGCTTCTTTGTGTTCTTCCAGATCAGAGAGAGCGAGGAAGAGTGGGGTGTGCCTCACGCCTTCACCCTGGTTGGACAGGGACAGTCGGTGGTGGTAGCAGCAAGGTAAATAGGAAAATAGCTACCCTCTTCCTTAATTAAGTGAAGCACTTTGAACTGCCTTGTTGCTGAAGTGTGCTCTTAAAATAAACTTTAACATAATTTTCCCTTTATTTCTTCAGCTTCTCTGAAGCCAGATTAATATTTGTCATAAATCTGTGCTGTAATTACACATATTTCACGCAGATCAAACATTTCGTTTCAGTGTCAATGTCGTCTTTTGGATCAGAAGATAAATCCAAGTGTAAACCCAGTTGCATTTATAACTCTCTACTATGTGTGCCCACTTCTCTTTCATGTTATTTATTTTAACAGTCCATCTTACATTAGTTTGAGCTACTCAAACTAATGTAAGATGGCAGTTATCTTGTCTAATCTGCTGATTGGTGAAAGGTAGTCAGAAAGGTACATATCAATTTATTTAAAATCATTTTTACTTCAATTAATTAATTGGATCTATCCAGTTTCCATCTTGTGCTGATGACACAATAGGGTAGAGTTTAAAGTGAATACTTTCCAGAAAGGCTGAATGAAGGACACACATCGTCCCTGTGCTGCTGTTGTTAGCAGAACTGTTTATAACCTTGAGGCAGAGTGACATGTTCCTGCTTTCCCTCCATTTGTTACCTAGTTCGCTGACAGAGATGGAGAAGTGGATGCAGGACATCAAGATGGCGATAGAGATGACAAAAACCAGCAATGGCCCCACATCGGATGTGCTGACCTGCACACTGACTGATAACAGTAAGTTAGAGGATAAACAAAGGAAAAATGTTGAACTATTACAAGATTTGTGCTCAGACATCAATATTTGTGAATGTTTACTGTGAGAAAGAAACAGTAAGCGAGCCAAACAGCTGAGACCCCAAATCCATGTTGATTTCAGGATGATCTGACGCTGTCTGTGTTTAAGCTCCTCTCTCCCCTCACCAAGCCTCCCGCTCCTTGACTAGCTCTAACCACCTCCCGACTTTCCCAGAATGCCCAGAGGACTCCACGGTGGAGGCAGAGTCCGAGGACGACACAACAGCTTTGCATACGTCGCTGGAGAAGCCCACAGCTCACCGTGGCAACACCATGGTGCACGTGTGTTGGCACAGGAACACCAGTGTGTCCATGGTGGACTTTAGCGTAGCTGTGGAGGTATCGGCCAAAGCTCAGACTTGCCCTTCCTACTTCTCTTCCTCCTCCTCTTCCTGCTGTCCTGCTGTTTTCTTCCTCTGTCTCCCAGTCTGTGCTGTATCTGGATTGACTTTGGTCTCTCACTTGGAACAGTGTCCTTCTGTGCTCCCCTGGAATTAACCTGTTTCCTTGGATTAAACAATTAGATACCAAGAATCAACAGGAAATTTCACTTCAGTAATTTTTTGAAAACAAAACATGTTTTTGTAGAAAAAAAATGGTGAGAAATTCAACGTAGAATGCCTGCAGTTACATATTAACTTTATAAACACACAAATGAATGTGTTTTTTTGTTTTTCTAAAATATGACGCACTGTACCTTACAGAACAGGCATTTACACATTTGGTTACAATCAAAAACCCAACTGTCTTGTTTTGTGGTTTTAATTTATATACTAACCAAAAGTGCAGCATAGTTTTGAGATGGAAAGTAAATGGATCTTCTTCAATTTTAAGACACTGGTGTCTTTTTCTTAATTTACTTTCAATGAACTTTTACAGAAACTCAACTTTTACAGTTATCTAATTTCATTGACATAAATTTATTAGTCAGATTGCATAAAGAGCTTCTGTAAAAGCAGCTCTGGTTGGACGTTTTGTGTTGGTCCACTGCTGAAAGGTGAGCATTTACATCAGTTTGAATTTTTTGCTGACCTGCAGGCTTTATCAGGTTTTCTTCTGTTTTTTGCCAGTATTTAGATTTCCTCTCCCAGATTTACCACATTCTTCTGCTGTCCTTAGTATCTTTTCAGGTGTGCCATAGAATTTCTATTTTTGGATAAAGGGTAGCACTCGATTTTATTTAGGAGTATCAGAATGATGGATTTTAAATTTAAATGCACCCCACACTTTCCAGATTTTTTTTCTGGAAAAACATAAAATACCAATGATTTTGCCTTTTACATCCTGTCACCATTATCCTCTTTGTGTTGGTACATCACATAAGTGACAAAAGTCAGAGGCATACATACTCCTTTCAAGAACCAATTTTTTAAAAATCATTTTAAGGAAAACAATCATTTTTCACTTTTTGGATTCTAAACATTTTCTGATGGTGTTCTCACCCAAACATCTGCCAGATTTTCCACTTTTTTTATTTTATTTACAACCCCGTTGTCTGAAATATTTTCTCTGGTGAAAAATGTGCATTTAGACGGACACGCTAAGAGTTGCTAAGATATTTATAAATGACTTTAATGTTGATCCTCATGTACCGTCAGCAAGGCTGCTGTTTCAACCTTTCCGTCATGCGGCTGAGAGCGCTCAATGTGATGTCCGGATCGAAACTCAGAGCTGCTGCTCTACTTGCTTTATTGCTCCTTCTTGAACATAATATCTCTGACTGTCTCTAACTAAAAGCATTATGTTGGTTTGTTGGATGTTCTTGTCCTACATTAACAGAAAGGATCTTGATTTGTGAGGTAGCGTCCTGCACCAGTTCTGCTCTCCCTCTGTTGTCGTAACAATGTCCTCTTCACAGCTTTGCCTGGACACGCTGTCTGCCTTGGTGTTAACCCCTGCCACTGCATGCTTGTGTGTAACCTACTCAGTTTCTGTGTTTCTGTTCCTCCCGCCCTCTCTGTCTGTTTCTCTCTTTCACATCTGTGCATTCCTCCGTGGTAGAGGAGCCTAGTCCAGTCAGGGACAAAAAGGCCCCGAATGGCCAGGGACCAGTGCCTCTGTCTGTTATCTGCTGGTACCGAGTTCAAAGCCTCTCCTTTAGTGAATCCTGCAGGAGTCTAGAGGTAAAAGAGCCAGGCAGACAGGAAATGCACCTCTTTGTGCGCTTGAGGTCCCGACAAAATGTTTTTCAAGTTTTACACATTTGCTTTTCTTTCAGAATCATCACACAGTTGAGTCAATCTTTTTTCTTTTTCAACTTCAGTTCAAGCTTTGAAGTTTGACATGGGGAGTAATAGATTTAAAAGTGTTTGCCTGTATTCAGAGGAATACATTAGATAACCATTAACCAAGATTTTTACGTTACACTTAAAAGATTCAAATTATTTCAGATTCATTTCTAAAGATTATTTTACTTATTGATGGAAAAAAATGTCTGTAATATGGAAAATAAATAGCTTGTTTGACTAATGAATTAAATGATTAAAAAACATTCAAGTTAGCTAAAATATCTCAAGAACCAACATATCCTGTCCCAATCTAAAGAAAACAAGCACTCAATAGACTAGTGGAGAATTATTATTTTTTTCAGCTTCAGTTCTTGTTTTCTACCAGCCATGTTACATCTAATAAAATATATTAGTTTCAGTTTATTTCTAACAAGACATGCAGTTGTTGCGCTCTTTTAAATATGAAGTGCTTCACAAAAAGACTGCTATTTCTGTGCCTCAATTATTTTTTAAAACAAAAGATATAAAATGTTTTTATTCCTTTCAAGAAAAGTAAGAGTTTAACTAAACAAGTAGGTTACTTATGTAGCAAATAAGGTAGAAGTCTAAAAAGGGTTATTTATAGAACCATGACATTTTTATCTAGGTACATTACGGTCTATGTGGAAAGTAACCAGAGCTTCAATTTTTTCTACATTTTGTTGTGGAAAACAAAATGTAGAAAAAATTTTTTCTACTTATTATTATAATAGTTGATTATTAAAATATCCTCATCATTAAAATAGTTCAATTATTTAAATTCAGACCAAATGCACTATAAAAATCAGCTCTGGCAAAGAGGGAAAAAAAGAAGCAACCTTATGTGTTAGGACTGTTTTGATTTTTATTTGGTTTTGACAGAAACAATTGAGAGAAATTATTAAATAAAATATCAGGAAGCAGCACTATTTAACCAACAGTAGGTTTATTGCTTGTAGACATGTTTTGAATTAGCTTAAATGTGACTTTGTCTTCATATTTTCGTTGATTGTGTCATTGTGTCACTTCCTAATTAAATGTGTTCCTGTCCTGTTTTGACCAGAATCAGCTGTCGGGAAACCTGCTGAGAAAGTTCAAGAACAGCAACGGGTGGCAGAAGCTCTGGGTGGTCTTCACCAACTTCAGTCTGTTTTTCTACAAATCTCACCAGGTGACTAACGAACACAGGTCATGCTGTTTGCACTGTGAACCTTTCCACCTCTCTCTCCTGCTGTTTTCCTCTCTTCCAGCATCACATCTTGGTGTAGAATATCAGATAGTAGTGCCATGTTGGCTGTGAACACATGCTCCCGTGCAGCCTTTTTACTCTTGATTCCTACCACAAAAAGTGCTTGAGAGCCACATTTGACCCGAGTTTAGTCAGGATCACTGCAGACCAGAAAAACTACGGAGAACATGAAATTTATTTTAATTTCCAGGTCTGAAAAAGGTATTGGTATTTCCAAAATGTATTCCCTTTTTTATCCACCTTACAGTCTCTCAATTTTGCAGCCTCTATGTAATTTGGCCACTGTAGAAGTATTTGCAATGGGTTTATTGCAAACATTGTATTTATATTTCCCAAACAAAGTTTTTTTTTGTTGTTGTTGTTTGTTTGTTTGTTTGGGATTGGTTTTTAACCAACCTAAAAAGTAAATTTTTAAATTCTGTCTACTAAATCTTCCCACAGGATGATTATCCTTTGGCCAGCCTCCCTCTGCTGGGATACTCAGTCACTGTTCCCGCTGAAAATGAAAACATTCACAAGGACTACGTCTTCAAGCTACATTTTAAGTCTCATGTGTACTACTTCAGATCGGAAAGCGAATACACTTTTGAGAGGTAACCTGTACTTTTTTTATAAATTCATCTTTAGTGTTTGATTCATTTCTCTAATAAGTCCTAATTCACTGGCAGGTGGATGGAGGTCATTCGCAGCGCTACGGTCTCCTCCAGCCAGGCCCGCCTCCGGAACAACAAAGATCCCCACCCTCACTGATTCAGTCGGAGTTGTTTTTCCCCGTATCACATATGGGTGGCATCTGCCCGTCTCGTCCTGCCCTGTCCCTCAGCGACACTTTGCTTTCCTTCTCTACACACCTGGGACATTTATACATGTGTACATGCACACTTTGTGCTCTTTATTTTTTAATGCTTTAAATGGTGACACGTCCGCTGGTTTAGACTGCATCAGAGACTGCGTTTTTATTCTCCAACTCTAAAGCCTCTTTTTATGGATGTCATTTTATACAGCTTTTCTAACGGTCTGAATCACTTCCCAGACTATGGTTTTACATTTTGTCATTTTTGCTGCAGGAACACATGATGTATACTCTTTCTTAGGCGGTAAAACGTCTTTAAGTGTTGTCAGTTTTGTTTTGAGCTTGAAAATTTTGAGCTGCATTGTCAGTGCCAAATTGGTTTATAGCAATGTCAGGGACTTTTTAAGGAGTAGGATGGTTCCCCTGTCTGCTCATGAGAAACAGACCACCCTTTAACTGTGTAAGCTCTGCTCCCAGTTGTCCCAGCACAACATTGTTGCTGAAGAAACAAATGAAAGCATAAAATTATTTTACTACCAGTGGTAGCTGCCATCATCACAAATGCTGTCTTAAATAAAGTAATTCTTCTACTTGCTGATCTTCATTCCATGGAAATTGAGTATTTTTTAAACCCTGAAATTATTCAATTGGATGGGGCATGACGATATCTGTTCATAAATGCTGCATTTTGAGGGAATATGGGACTGAAAGCTTTAAGGATTGTGTGTGTGTGCGTGGGTGTGTGTGGGTGTACGTGCGTGCGTTTGTGTGTAACAGAAACTAAGTAAAAACTTTCAGATCAAAACCATTCGTCATCCTGACTCCTGCATACAGGTCTTTATATGACCTTGAACCAGTGAAGATATGTAAGTAACTAAGTGTTACAAAATGGAAAAAAATACGATTCTGCTTGAAAGTTTCTTTTTTTGTTTTTTGTGTATGCTTTTGGTTTTTGAGGCAAGAAGGTTTTTGGAAATTAAAGCAATAAAAACTTAACCAAGTTCAGACTTTTTTTTTTTTTTTTTACTTTTATTTTGGAAGCAGGCAGAATAGTTTATCTGAACAGTACAGTGAGTTTTTGACAATATTTTAAGTATGACCAGCAGATGGCGAAATTTATCAAAAGGTTGCTTCACTGCAGAAAAAAATACAGGAATGCACTCTGAGAATTTAAATGGTACAAAATGTGTTTTATTTGCAGCTTTCTTGCAAAACGATGAGCTTTCTTTAGGTAGTTGCATTAAATTTAAGATAATAGCTCCATATTGATAACTAATTGTAACATGACATTTACACAATTTAATTGTGTAAAAGTCCTCTGGACAGATGAGAATTGATTTAGAATTTGAAAGAAATTGACTCAATATTGTTACTATCCGCTGTCCTCTATTTATTCAACTGATTGTTTTGTCTTTAGGTGAGGGGAGGAGCAGATTTATAATGAAATCAGAGACAAATGAAGGAAGATAGGACAGAGGGATCCAGAAAAACTTGGCATCCCAGCCAGCTCCATAACGTGTGCGTGGATGCTGGGCAGTGAGAGCATGCTCCATGCACCAGGTAACCTTGGAGATATCTGGAGAGCACAGGATGTTCATAGAGAAGCCCTGGATTCTTATATCTGTAAAAAAAAATAAAAAAAGACTCAGTGAATTAAGTTATTTACTTCTTTGAGAATTTAAACAAGCATCTTTTCTACCCACAGTCATCTAAGTATGTGGCACCATACGAGTCCTTAACGTCTTGATGAAGGCGCGCCCACAACCTTTTCAAGTCAGCATTGATGAGATCTACGCTGGTTACACCAGACTTGAAGAAACCTGGCTCAATGATGCTCACTTTTATACCGAAGTGCTGCATGTTCCTCCTGAGAAGAATGAAACATGTTTAGTCCCATGTGGACTACTGTCTCAAATTCATCTCAAAACACCACAAGACCAATGACATGCTCAATGGTATGAGCATACAATTAGTTGACTAAAATATTTATGCGCACAATAGATTTTCCCCTCATAAAATATCAAAAATATCAGCCAGAAACATTGAGGGGATGTAACTGGGGGAGCTGTCAATGCCAGTACTATCTGTTCATCTAACTACTGTAGATTTCATGTCTTTAGAAGGATGAGAAATGATCACCTCTTGGTTGTAACACATTAAACAAGACTGCTTTTCTACATGTCAGTTTTATTTTTTCCACCCTTATAAACAGTTTGTTACACCCATCAGTCATTTCCTTTTCTTCAAGTATTTTATTTACAGCAGACATTTACTCTCTTCTAACCTTAGTGGGGCCATTTTTTTAAAACAATAACTGCATCTTTTAATCTGTGGAAAAATCTGGCAATAATATTCAAGCTAGGCACATCTCTCACCTCTAATTTAAAAACCTTAAATGCAGAAGATGTTTTCATTTCTCTACCTGAGACTGTCAGAGAAAGCTTCCACACCCCATTTGGACAAACAGTATCCTCCACCGGTGAGAGACAGCCTCCCCAAAATGCTGGCCACGTTCACCACTCTGCCCTTGCCTTTCTTCAGGAGAGGCAGAAACTGCAAGGTTACATCAATAACCCCGATCAGATTTACATCCAACACCTTTGTAAAGTCCTCCAGGTGCATCCATTCTGTCGGTCCGATGGGAACCGACCTGCCAGCATTATTCACCAGCCCCCAGAGGCCTGCGGGGGAAAACAGAGGACAATCAGCTAATAGCACTAAGATCCACAAAACAAAACTCTCCTGTAAAAGACGGCCTTAAAATTTTCTTTGATTTCCTACAGTTTGACACTCATATAATTCTATCTGAAGTTGTCTGACCAAAGTTGTGTAGGTATTACAAACTGAATGAACACTATACATGTCAAATAACTAGTTTGAAGAAAGAAAGAAAAAAAAAGCATCTATGAAAATGTTCAAGTCTTGTCAAAAAATGTCAAATAAAATTGTGTCAAGGTTACATTGTGATTGGTTGTTCTGTTGGAAACAGAATCCTCTCTCCAATCTTAAGTCTGTTTCAACCTTCAGCTACTTTTCTTCCAGTATTACACTGAATTTAGCTTTTCATGTATTTTACCATCATTCCCACAGCATGATACTGCTACCACCTTTTTTCACATATAGCATTTACTGTTTGTGGTGATGAAAGTGTGTACACAAAGTTCTCTGTCACCCAGTGGTCCATCCCCGCTCACCTCGCTCCCCCACCTCTCTCTTCACAAACTCCATGGCACTCCGAATGCTAGCACTGTCTGTAACATTCACAAGGAGAGTCTTCAGTCTGGGGCTTGTCGATGCTGCCAAATCTGCAGCACCTTTCTCTGTGAGACATCCAGCTGTGACCCTGAAGCCTTTCTGGTCCAGCTGTCTGGCCAGGAGGTTCCCAAAGCCACTGTCACAGCCAGTGATGAACACATGCTTCTGACTGAAACCACCAATCCTGTAGGAATCTCTGATGTACCAGCGGACAGCGGTGTAGCAGGCCAGAAGTAACATACACTTGAACACCAAATTTGGCAGAACCTGAAAGGCAAAAAAATATTAAGATCCCAGTTTATATGCATAAATCGGACAGGGAACGAAGAGAAGAAGATGTAGTGTTAAGATAAAGTAAAAATAAACCTACCTCAACAAAACCGCTCACTGCTTCATCAACTTGCACCTAAGAGGATGAAACTTTAAATGACTTAGTCATTGAATCAATTCAGTTTTATCTTACAGTGACAATTTTGTCATGTTGGTCAGAATCATGTCAAAAATACTTATTAAATTATTAGAATAATAAAAAAAATCATAATCCAAGTTAAATTCATGCAATGTTTTTGGAGTTCAAGAATAAACTAAACGTGGACGACAATATACACTTTTATATAATATGAATAGAGAATACAAACAGCCTGGTTATTGACAAACTGTTTGTGTTTCCAACACTTCCCATTCTAAGACAATTTTAATTTCTTGGTCATAATTTTGTCCTTTATAAAATGAAAAGACTCCATCTTCATCAACCACCTGTGCTGGAAGGCCAAATCAGCATTGTTTCTGAGGCCCACACAACAGGTCAGAAGTTGGACATTGCACACCCCAAGGTTCATAGGTGTAACTTCCCAAAGGACTGGTGTGGACATGTTCCCACTAACTTTGGCCTGATGTGGACAGTCCCCACCAATATTTCATCAAAGAGGATGAAATTTTTTATAAAGCACAGGAGCCAAAGTTTGTTAAATTGTAAACCACCATGGCTTCTGCTGGTGAATTGTTTTTTTGACATTTTTAACTGAATAAACATAACTACATAATAAACATAAATAATAATGACCTTTACATATAGTAATAAACATTTCCATATATCACCTCCAATGTCCATGGATCTCTCAGTTGCCATGTCAGCTGTTTGGGATTCCCTCTGTTCTTATGTCACAGCGCTTTCTGATTGGCTACCTGTCACATTAAACAGGCTGAATTCTCATTCCCAGTCAGGGAAAACCCCGCAGGCTGAGATAATCGGGCCAAGGCAATGACAAATTGCCAAGTCTAGGCTGGTCCGCGGTAATAAAAAGGTTGGGGACTACTGGCTTGTCCACACACTTAAGTTGCAACTGTCTCAATAGCATGCAGTTGTGTTATACACAGCTCTACTAACGAGATGGCATGTATGGTTTGATTGAGACTACCTCAACATTTCTCCAACTTTGTTTTCTATCACCTTTTTTTTTTTTTTGCTGATTTTTACTGTTTCGTGTTTTTTTACTGGCAATGAGCTGAGAGGTTGTGCCTATTGCATCCTGCTGTCCCCAGTTTTAAATTTAACCCACAACCATAAAAAAGAGGGTGGGAAGTGGGGGACATTCAACGCAAAACAGTGGTTCAACATAGTTACAGCAAAAACACACTTCTTGAGCTGCAACAAGTTTTAAGGTACATTTCTAAAATTGATATAATTAGCTTTTTAAATCCATGCTAAAAGTCATTTCACCAATTAATTGTAAACTAAAAGAGTTTATCAAAATACTGGACAACTGGGTCTTTATAAGACTTGATAAGCATGCATTTAATCATTAGTGGACTTCTGGTGACGAAAACGTGGTATTTTATTGACTTTTATTATTAACGCAGTCATATTTTGACATTTAAAATCACAGGATCAGTCTCTATATTCCTTTTTATACAATACTTACAAAATCCTCTTTTGCTTTATCATGACAAGGCCAAAACAAACTGAAGAAGCTAACTGTGCTTTCATTGATTTTTTTTTCAACTTCTATGCATGAAAAGTCAAACCGTAAAATACAATTATTCAGAATAAACTGATTGGAGGTGTCACAAATTATACTCGATCTACAAACTGCAATACTCATACCTCTGTTCTTCATCAGCATATAGAAAACAGTCAGGCTGGTCCAAGTGTATAAAGAAACAAAGAGAATAACGTAAAAATATTCTTGTTTTGTGCACCACCACGTCATCATTCTCTTGCAAAGCCAAAACCAAGAATCCTCGATGTAGGTGCTTTCATCTTCCACCAGAGGGCAGCAAATTTCAGTAAAAAATATTTTCCTTTAAAAGTGAAAAATCCTACATTTACCTCTGAACGAGTTTTTGATGATCATCACAATCGATCATTTCCAACACAAGCACCAACACATACAAAATAAGGATAATGTAAACATACCATGGTTACAGCTCTCCAGAAGTAGCCTCTTCTCACCTTCAACTGTACAAACTAATCGAGAAAAACATACACTTGCCGGTGAAGTTTGCTGCTTTATCTGTAGAGTCAAGGTCCATAGCGAATATAAGGGAAGGAGTAAATGGTTCACCAGTATGGACTTGTGAAAGATCCCAAACAAGATTACATAACTTTCAGTTTTGATAAATGCGTTCCCTTTACGTTTGAAACCACTGACTTTGTCCAAGAGCAAAGATTTCACAGCACATCACATTGTTTCTGTTTACTGTTTATAACTAATTCAGAAACTGTTATTCAAAATACATGTCATACAGAGAACTTTATTTTCAAAAGCACTACAGAGCTTTACTTTTCAAGCTCTGTAGTGATATACAGATCACTACAGAGCTTGAGACGTAAAGAATGTTGACAAATTTTGACAGACGTGCAAAAGCTAACATTTACTGTTGTGAAAATAACACACACAGGATGCTTCTCAAATCATAGATACTCTGGGTTTGGGACTGTATCGAAGGAAAAATCTATCTGTAATCCAAGTGGGCATGTATGACATGGGCAACCAGAGGAACTTGGCATCCCATCCTGGGGAGTAGCGGTAGCGAGGGTGGATGGAGGCAATGGCGTGCTCCATACAGTGGACTACCTTCATCAGGTCGCTGTCTCGAAGCTGCTTGAACCTTTCATCCAGCTGTTCGAGACCTGAAGGAGAGGCAACGTTTTGCAGTGGGTGATCTGGACATGATTTAACTTCTAACGTAGGAATAAATACATAAATAATTATAAAACTGTGTGTGAATGACTACATGCAAAGCACTTTGGCTGATTTCAAAGTTTCCTTTTTTACAAGCAAATTGGTTTCTGTTTAGTGAAATATTTACTGAAGATGTTAATTTATCTACTTACTTTCTGTCTCTGAATCTTTATCTAATATAAAGTTAAATGCCTATAAGCAGGGAAGATAAATGCATTTTTGCTCATTGCACAAACTGTAAGAGGTCAAGAAGTCCAAGCTCGTTTCACGTTCAGCCTTCTGTCAGTCCATGAAAAAAAACACCTGACATATGCTCTACCATTAATCTTATCTATCTGCTAAAGACGTGATTCAAAACAAATATTTGCAAACTCTTATTAAGCCTTTTTTGAAGATATCCTGTTCAATGTGGTTTAAAACTAAAGTACTGCAAATACTACTTCAAAAGCAAATAAATTTCAGGTACCTAATGGGCTGCAATAGCCACAAAATAGATAGGTTCAAAATATAGGCATAATTTTGTAAGACCTAAGAACAAGGTTGTTTTTAACCTGATAAGTTTAGATAAGTTTGAAACATTTTATAAAATGTAAATGCAGATTGATACAATTCAATGCTCCTTAAATTTTAGAGGAAAGTCTCTATTCAATATTTATGGTTACAAAGGACATTTTAACCACATGCCATTGGGAGTGTGGGCATTTGGACCTAGTTGTTTTTATCATAAAAAAATAAGAAAAAAAGGGTAAAGATAAGAGGAGATATGAAAACTCACATGTCTCCAAGTAAGTATGCCCATAGTCATCCTTCATATCCTGAGGTAATCTTTCCCAAAGGTTCTTGAAGTGGTTTTTCAGCATCATAGTGTCAGTCACGCTTGTTTTGAAGAAGCCTGGCTCAATGCACAAAACTTTGACTCCAAACGGTGCCATGTTTAAACTAAAACACAGAAATAAACATTAAAAAAGGAGACTATCTCAGTCAAGAACAAGAAAAAAAACAAAACAGTGGTCCTTCTTACCGCAGGCTGTCATTAAAGGACTCCACTCCATACTTGGACACACAGTAAGGCCCCCCAAATGGACTGATTCGCCCGAACACACTAGCTACATTTACCACTCTGCCCCGGGCCTTCTTGATGAGAGGGAGCACGCTCAGAGTGACGTCGATCACTCCATTGAGGTTGACGGCTAGCATGGATTTGTAATCGTCAATGGTGAGCCAGTCTATGGGACCAGACGGCGTGGCAACTCCAGCATTGTTTACAACAGCCCATAGACCTGAAACAACATGAGCACAATATGAACCCTGGTATTTTTCTGTATGAAACATTTTCTCTTTGTCTTAATAGGTACACTACATATGAATTGAAAATGGCTCATTTTACACATTTGCAACCCTCCCACCCCCCGGATCTACATAACACATAGATACTGTTCCGGTCAATTTGACCCGGCAGTCAAGTTGAAAGGTCAAAACATATTGTGACAGCAGGGACAGCTACTCTCTGGCTGGTTTGTGGGAAAACCTCACACATATCCAAAAACATCATAGAACAAATATTGACTGAAATGGTTAGTACTGGAGTTAATAATAAGATACAAAATTGGGAGGATTTTTTTGATTTCTAACACTATTGACTAATTAATTGATCCATGGGTCAAATTGACCCAAGAACATTATTGCTGTATCTCAGAAACAAACTTAACAGGAAGTTAATCAACTGATAAAATAAAACTGGGGAGGAAACCACTCACCTTTCTCTCCAACAAGAGTCTTAATGGAAGCTGCCACCTTTTTAACACTTTCAGACTTGGTGACGTCCAGGGAAATGGACGTCAGCCTTTCGGAGGAGACCTTCCTCAGCTCAGTTTCACCCTTCTCCGTGTAGCAGCCAGCAATCACACAAAAGCCCAGCTTGTCCAAATGTTTGGCCAGGGTGTTCCCAAACCCTGAGTCACAGCCAGTGATGTACACATATTTGTCCCCCTTGTTGGGAACTCTTTTGCTTTCTTTGTACCAGCGATAGAGGTACCAAACAGCCACCAGTCCGAGGATATACAAGAACATTGTCTTTATTTCTGGACAAAGGAAACAAAAATAAAATCACAATTGTATTTCAGTCAACAGATGTTCTCATTAGTTCTGCACTGTGCATCTCTAAACTTTGAGACAAAATATTTATAATATCAGCAAAAGGGCAATTAATTAATTTAATTCAAACAAACTCATATATTTATTAACTATTTATTGTACTTTTTTTTTTTTTAAGTATTGATGTTAACAGAAAGTTCAGTGGAAGAAAAATCATAAAATTCACCAGAATTTCTGAATGGAAATTCTGGTGATTTTATGATTTTTTTGTGAAAAGGATGTTTTCATTTTCCAGAAGGACCTGGCGTCTGCCTACACTGCCCAATGTAGAATTACTAAAGCCTCAGTAGGGTTGATTATCTTGGAAACTGATTTCTTGATTTCTGTTAAAAAAAAAAAAAAACAAGATACCAGATAAGTACTAGAGGCCCACCGTTTCTCCTTCCCCACCTGTTCTGGTACGTAGTTGTTTAGCTTAAGGTAACATTTTAGAAGCATCTGGCAAGCTACAAATGACATGTATGTTAGCTCTCTGCCTGGAGGCTCAAGCAGATAAGGAAGCTGGACTAATTATAAGCAAATATTATTCTGTTACACAACCAGTTGTACAATGGAAAAAAGTATTACGTTCTGTGCAATTTAAAACTACTATAAAGCTTTGAGTAAAACAATAATGATAATCAACATGCTAGTTTTTTTTTGCATTTTGATTACTTTTGTCTTAAGTAAAAGTCATTAAATTATGCAATGCTGCATTGTTCAAAATTTTTTATACACACATCTTTAAAGCTTAAAAACATGATACCATAAGAAAAGTGTTGCTAAGTGTTGCTCAGATCAGCCTGTTCTTAGTCTGGGCAGCTTCAGAATGGCAACCATTGATGACTGCAAGATAAATTAAAGATTTTTCATTTGAATGAAAACCCGTTTGAACACTTTGGCCTCACCAGTCATTAGGAAAACTAGTAGGGGTAGAATATTGCAATATGACAGGAATTTTGAGTGTTCCTGTAATCAGCAGTGGCCAGTGTGACAATACTCAATCAGTGGTCATTAACAAAATAGAGATGAATCAAGCCTTACAAGCCGTGGGTAAAACACAAAAAATCACAATCCGAGCTTTTTACATGTCAAACTTGGATCCAGAAAATCTAAAGGCAAAATAACATTAGTGTGAAACTTTTGATTTTTGTGTTGTGTTTCATAAAAAGTAATAGGACAAATCTGAACTCTGCAATAAAATATGTGATAAACATTAAGGGCAAAGATTTCTGGAGCAGAAAGATCAGGTTTCCGCATCATGAAGAGAGACTTTGTTAACAGGGTACTGCGTTTGGTTCTTGACATTCTGTAACAGCCAGAAATTCAGCACCAAGATCTTTAAAGGTGTTGATAGTGAGATCTTAACATGGATACAAAAATCAAGCCCCCAGTGCATGATCATGTTTCTATTGTGTATTTTTATCTACATCACAGTGGGGAAACACTGCAGTGGTTTTGGTTCCCAGTTCACTTTAAAACATGACATTCCTGCAGTAAGATGACACCAAGGAAGAAATGGTGATGTAACACAGTATTAAACCTCCTATAAAAAATAAAAACACAAGATATAACTTTTATTAAAAACAGTATTTATTCTGACAGCATTTAACATATTATTTGTTGTAATAATGTAAGTGAAATGATGATGATTTATCAACTTATGGAATAAACTGTTACTTACTTTAGTAGTAGGGCTAATTTTTGCAGACTAGAATATACTTTTGTCATCCTGCTTAGATGATATCAGTTGATATTCAGTCCGTCTATTTGCCTGGGAAGAACTTGCAGTACTAATAGGAGAGCTTGGTGACACTAATCTAATTTCCAAAACATAAGTTTCTGTCCGTGAAATATACCTTTTGAGAGCAGCAAAGAAAAGAAAATGTAGTATTCTTTCAACCCGAAGCAGATAATCTGGTAGTACAGCAACAGGTTAGGGAGGGGCATTCTGTGCTCCCTTTGCTCCATACAGCTGAAGAGACCCCTGGAAACTCTGGCCCTTTGTATTAAAAGGTCTATAAATTGTTAGAATGACATGTGTATCATTGTTTGAGGTTTTACAAGTAATAACAACGTAAAACCCTGATAATACTAGTCGCCAACCCATGCTTAAACAGCATGATGTAACCAAAACTGTGAAGTGTGTTCTGAAACAGCAGCTATATTAATAAAATATATATGAACACAGAAAATAGAACTGATGGATTTGAAGAAAGAAAATGAGAAAAGTTAAGTACTGAAGCTGAGTTAAACAACAATCATGTAATCCTAAAACTTCTTACATGAGGTGGGCTTGTCGAAACTTGTGAAGCAGCATTTCATCAACTTCATGCATTTCATAATAGATAGATAGATAGATAGATAGATAGATAGATAGATAGATAGATAGATAGATAGATAGATAGATAGATAGATAGATAGATTAAAAATAAAGATAAGAAAAAAACTATGTTTCTGCATTTTGTAGAAAACACACACACACACACGCACAAAGCAAACCAACCGCAGTCCTTAATGCTTCCTGTGCGCTGCCGAGCCATCAGGCTGGGTAACTGGCTGAACAAGACTCGGGAGTCACGCAAAAGGGATAGGATGAAAGGAGGTTCATCCAGCACGTCTCCCGTCGTTTTAGACGAGAGACGCGCTGCGTTACGCAGTTTGATAGTTTCTGTCCACTGGGTACATGTGCAGCGCAAGCTGGATAAACAGGTTGTGAGTCACTCCTTCTTAATAATGTTTGAGGGAAACACATCCTGCACATATTGTAGTAACAGTAACATTTACTTTAGCAGTGCACGAATAGTCTGCTGTCAGGGTTTAGACAGGTTAACGTAAGCACATCTGATTATTAATAGCGTAAATGACATTTCATCCCAGTATTAAATGTTGGTTTGATTGAGCCATGTTATGACATAGCCGAATTTAATTTTACTGAGGATAAAAAATAATATGCCTAAAAAAAAGGGGGAAAACTTAGACAGAAGTAGCCTACGTTTATTGTTTTCAGTTTTTACGCACACCGAACACGTTGTGTGTGTGTTTTTTTTTTTTAAATAAAGATTTTAAGAAACACAATAGATCCGGACAAAAACTCTTATTTCTAAATGTATTCAGACTAACGTCCTCTACGATATTTCTTCCTCTGGTCTTCTAGGCAAAAACGTCGAATTTACAGGATCATAAAAAATATCTCTGAACTTACCAGCGTTTTCTATTGCGGCCACTGCCTGAATTGGAGCTGCAGTCCCAAGAGAAACAGGGAATAAACTGGAAATTGCCACAAAGTTTGTTTTCACCCGACTTGATTTGGTGATTTTCCACCCTGATTTCCGGCGATGTCAGCAGACATGGCAGACGATCGCCATCTACTGATTGAGATTGTCATTACAGTGTTCAAGTGCCATGTGGCGTTCATTCCTTCACATTATGTGTTCTCTACGTAAATGTAGTAGCTACATGTTTACAGAAAAACCTATGTGCATATAAACGTGCTTACTACTTTTATGTTTCACTTTTGTAATGCATCCGCATTTAACTAGAGATTACAGTAATCGTTTGGCAAGACATTTTAAGCTGACAAACAATGCTTTTTTAAAATTTTTGTTGGCTTGTTGAAAAGACATAAAAGGATATCAAGCAAAATACATTGCCCAGCCACTCAACCTAATGTTTGATTAATAATAAAATATTTAAAATGTAAATGTTTTAGTGTTGCTAATTCATAATTAACAGTGATTGCTAATGTAATACATTGAAAATCTTCAAACTGAACATCGCTGCATTCTTTGTGTCCTTGACAATATACCAAATGATGAAATGTTGTTTTTATGAGTGTACTTGGAATAACAGATTGTATTAAATAACATATTTTATCAAATCTAAATGTTTTTATTTTTGTTTCATGTAGTAAGCATGAAGATCACGGCTCAGATGCAGTCATATCTGATTTGTTGGTGGAATCAAGCTCTTAGCTCCGTGATATAGATCCTTTTTTTTTCTTTTTTTTTTATATCCAGGCATGGATAAAAAAGGTCCCACCTTCTCTCTAAATTATCAATCACCAGCCTTGTCAATAATAGTTGGCTGTAAGGAAGGAACAAACTCCAAGAGCTCTGCACTGCTTGTACTAGTGGGCATTTATCTCCTATACAACAACATAGTTACATAATCCTTTATTAATACCCACATAATGCATAATTACGACAACTGAGTGATCATTTCACTTTTTTATTGTAAGAGAACTATTATAGTTTTCATGTGACCATATTATTGGATTTCGAAATGAAGCGTCATTTGTTGGTAAAACCTAGGGATAGAAAAAGAAACTTGGGGTGACTGAAATAGAGTTAGTGTTGTTTTTTTTCAAAGCAACATACAAATTAAGGAAAACTGAAGTTACAGAAAGGGAGAAGAGATTGTTGTAAGTCCCAAAACTTTGAATCTGTTGAAATGTTTGAATGTGAGAAGCACAACCATCGGCAAGATTTAACAAAAGGATGTCAGTAAGTGGATAAATATGGATTTGTTGTGCAACATAACAATAATTCAGTCAAATGACAGTGTCGATATTTATTTTACTGATCTAAATGAAACGGAAAGGTACATTTGTTTTTGCAGCACTATACGTTATGTAAACAAATTTTATCAGTATAAATGGGGATGGTTATAATTTTTAATAAGCCTTAAATTACTTTCCTCTTTATTCCTTGCCAATAAATGTCTCAAGAAGGCATTCTAGTCTCCGGAAGGAGCCAAAATGTCACAACAAGGTTTACTAATGTACCATTAGAAATTCACTCATGATCATAATCAATGGCCTCCCGGTCATTACTCCCATTTTACAGTCCTCATTGATTAGGAGGAACATAAGGTTACATAGAAGCTATTCTTTGTTATCAAAACAGATTAGCAAATATTAATGCTTTGATCAAACTTTAGTCCAATACATTGCAGGTGCATTAGACTAAACCTTGCGGTTTTGATAAATTTTTGCTTTAAATTTGCAGCCTAGTTGATATAATTGTGAACATGACCCTTATCAGTCTAACTGAAGTGAAGATAATAGGAAAATAGAAGCATAGGTCAACTTGGTAATACGATAAAAACTCTTTGCAAGAGCCTCATTGTTGCTGGTGGATTGAGGAAGACGTCCAGGTAAGGTTCATTTTTACTTTTCGACTGCACAATCATCTCATTTGCTTTGCTTATTGAGGAAACAAAATATTAATATTAAGTTGGTTTTCTTTTAATAGAGCTTTATCTTTGTATTAATTTTTAAATTAATAAATCATGTTTCTCCATTGATTTTTTAAAATGTTTTTTATTACTATTTCAGGTTAACACTGTCCTAAATAAGACTGTGTTGGCTAACATGAAGAAATCTAAGCATGGACTATTTGATGCTGATAAAACAGGCAAGAACGCTACATGGGACAAAGATGGTAACTTCAAACTAGATTTTAATTTCCTAATTTTATCTTTCTTTTAAATCTGATAACTTTTTTTAACTTAACTCTGCCTTTTTTTCAGCAGGCACTCAGATCAGGTGAGTTCACAATAAGACGCTTTTGTTATCTTTAAGATTACAAATTTATATTATTTCAAGATTTACCTAGCGGCAAGTGGATTGAGAAAGATGTTTTTGTTTTATTTTTCAGAGATGACAAGGAAAAGGAAAAAACACTAAGCATTGGATACTTTCAGTTGGTAATTATTTGCTTTTGTTAAATGATTTCCTATATATCCTGGCTTTTGATATCAGTTTCTTTGTTGTAAAATTAATTAATTAAGTGTTTTAAGACACTGTGACAGTTTTTTTCTTTTGTGTCTTGCGGTCATTGGATCCCTCCAGATACTCTGGCTTCCATTTACAGTCTGAAAACGTGACTGTCAGGTTAATTGGTTACTCTAAATTGCCAGTAGGTGTGTGCATGCATGGTTGTTTACCCTGTGTGTTTCTGTGTTACCTTGTGATAAATTGGTGACCTGTCCAGGGTATACCCCACCCTGGACTTAATCATTGCATAAGATAAGTACCCGCCTCCTACACCTCTGCAAGGACTGTCAGGCATAGATAATGGACGGGGGATGTCTTTATACCTAAACCTGGTATTAAATGCTATGTCATCCTGAGCTAGACTAATTGTTTAGCAACAGTGCACCAGACCCATCATGCCCCAGTTTGTTCCAGCAAAGCTCCATGAGCTTTGGTGGATCCTGGATTGTTCCTGAACTCTGTAACCACATTTGTTTCATCTGAGGGGAACAGTTTGGGTGAGATGGTTGAAGTTTTCGATACAGGTGGGGGTTCCAGTAGGACAATGCTCCTTAACACATAAAAAGCTTGTGCACCCAATGCCTGTTTGTAAAATGATTGAAATATTTTTTATAGAATTATTTCAACAAAATGGTTGTTTAATTGCATAATTAAAATGCCAGATTGATACAACATTTATTTGCATGACGAGTGTATGGAATGACTTGACCCCAAAGCTCTTTGTCTTGCTTTATCTTTATAACACCCCCAAAACTCTCCTAACTCAGGATGATGCTGCTTTCACTTTGAAACATAACATCAGTATGATGACACTGTGAAATGTCTGCTAAAACATATATCAGTGTATGGTACAGAATCTGCACCCATAGTCTGGGCTCCATTTAAGTTTTCAGGTCCTGAAAGAACCCAGGTTGCTTTCAGCTTATCTACATTGTTGGCTCTGATGTCCTTCATCTTTGCCTTAAAATTTCAATTGACTAATTTTGAGGTTCAGGTCAGTTTTCTGGCCAGTCAAGCACAATGGTCATTTAACCTGATATTGGTAATTTTTGCTGTGGAAAGTAATATTAGCTTGTCCATTAAATATATGTTTCATTCCCATTATTGTATAAAGAAAGGCACTTGTATATATATTTCTTAAAGACAACCATTTATGAGAGAAACTCAGCACTTTTTTCTCCTTAAAGTTTCGATTTGCCACCTGGAGAGACACACTGATGATGGTGGTGGGCAGCCTGTGTGCCCTGATCCATGGCTCGGCTTCACCTCTCATGCTCCTGGTGTACGGCATGATGACCAACACTTTTGTGGCTTATGAGCTGGAGGTTCAAGAGCTCAAAGACCCAAACAAGGAGTGTTTAAATAACACCATTCATTGGACCAATGGCTCCATATATGAAACAACTGATAATACCACGGTTTCTTGTGGGTAAGTCAGGAGTGTACTGCTAAGGTGTTTAATTGTTGATTGTTGCTTTCACTTCTCTGTCTTCACAGGGTGGATATCGAAGCGCAGATGACCATGTTTGCATATTATTACATTGGCATCGGGTTAGGTGTTCTGATTGTTAGTTATTTTCAGGTTTGTGTAAACATTTAGCTTTAATTTGAAAATCTTCTGAGCAGAAATACGTCACAGATGAAAAAAAAAAAGAATGAACAACTAGTGTTTTTGTGTTTTAGATTGTCTTCTGGGTGTCAGCAGCTGCAAGACAAACTCAGAAAATCAGAAAAATGTATTTCAGGAAAGTTATGCAAATGGAAATTGGATGGTTTGACTGCAACTCTGTTGGGGAACTGAACACAAGGATTTCTGAGTAAGTCTTCAGGTAAAAAAAAAAACTGTCACTGTTGCAAAAAGAATTACATCTAATACATTGTTTTTTCTTCTATCCTCTCTCCCCTAGTGATATCAACAAGATCAACAATGCTATTGCTGATCAGGTGTCCATTTTCATAGAAAGGATCTCAACGTTTGTGTTTGGCTTCATGGTTGGATTCATTGGCGGGTGGAAGCTGACTGTGGTTGTCATAGCAGTCAGCCCTCTGATTGGCATAGCTGCTGGATTAATGGCCATGGTAGTAAAATGACTTACAACCAGGAAGGAGATGACAGTTTTTAATTTTTCTGAGAGTTTGTGTCCTCTACAACTTAAGGCTGTGGCCAGACTAACCGGAAGAGAGCTGACAGCCTACGCAAAGGCAGGAGCAGTGGCAGATGAGGTCCTATCATCCATCAGGACAGTTGCAGCTTTTGGAGGGGAGGAAAGGGAAGCTGAAAGGTAATTCTGTTAAACTGTGCGAATGATAAAACAATTATTTCCTACTCCATTTTGTTCATCCATACTTGTACTTCAATGATTTGTTGTATTTAACAAGAAGCGTTTTGATTTTAATCTGTGAAGCACTGTTTTTGTTGCTGTTAGAGTGAACAGTGAGCATAAATGCAGTTTGATTGATTAATTGATGTGTTACAGGTATGACAGAAACCTCATTGAAGCTCAGAACTGGGGTGTAAAAAAAGGCTCAATTATAGGAGTGTTTCAAGGATACTTGTGGTGCATCATCTTTCTATGTTATGCCTTGGCCTTTTGGTACGGATCTAAACTTGTCATTGACACCAAGGAACTGACTCCAGGGAGCCTAATTCAGGTAAACGAAGCTAAGCACGACATATATTTTATGTTGAGCAATGTTTTTATTTACAAAAATATTACATTTAAAATCTAATATTAAGGCTTTGTCATAAATGAGACACTGAGCATCTTTAAAAGCATTTAGGATGCTGAAGTTCACATAATATTTAAACTATAAATAGAATGTACTACTATAATGAATAATACATGTTTTTGAAAAAACAGTACAATTTTTGATAAAGTTACTAATGAATTCACTCATTGTTTTTTTTAGCTGATTACTAATGTGTTTATTTTCTAATTTCACATGAGAGAGCAAGTTAATTTGAACTCTAAATAAAAATTACTGTAACCACATTACTTTTGGTTCTCCTGTTTATTACCTTTTAATTATGAAATAAGAAACATACAGACTGAATATATATTATTCAAAAAAGTGATTCAAACAAATTGCTTTTCAAATAGTTAATTTATTACACACTTCTATGCATACATATAATAAAACATATTTTTATCTTTTCTAATAAAACACCTGGAACAATATGAAATATCCTTGACAGACAAAATTGATTGATCTCTCACAAATATCATATGTGCTACACTAAAACATGAATATGTCTAACAACAACACATATTTTAGCTTCTTGTTCAACAGTGTACTTCTGCTTCAATGTTTGGTTGCCCTGTTATATGTCAGGTTTTCTTTGGAGTGCTGATGGCAGCTATGAACCTTGGACAGGCCTCACCATGTCTGGAGGCTTTTGCTTCTGGTCGGGCAGCAGCAAAAACAATTTTTGAAACAATTGATCGGGTAATGTAACATGTTCTCAGAGGAAATAAAGTTTGGGCAGAGTTTGAAACACTATGGCATAAGATAATATGTTTCTACTTTCACAGGAACCAGAAATTAATTGTTTCTCAGATGTTGGTCATAAATTAGACAAAGTCAAGGGAGACCTGGAGTTCCACAACATCACCTTCTTTTACCCATCTCGACCTGACGTTAAGGTAACTCAACTTACCCAAAGTCTATCTTGGTCTCGCTTTGGTCTCAGCAAAACTTGTGAAATTCCAACTGCTTACTCAGATTTTAGATAACCTGAATATGCAGATCAAAGCAGGAGAAACAACTGCTTTTGTTGGACCAAGTGGATCTGGAAAAAGCACCACAATTCAACTCATTCAAAGATTTTATGATCCAGAGGAAGGAACGGTAACAATCTGCCTGCACAGCTAGAACACATATAAAACTAAAGGCTTCATAATGATTTTTTACTGTAACTCCCCATTCCCAGGTGTCTTTGGATGGCCATGATATTCGCACATTGAACATTCAGTGGCTTCGTTCTCTCATTGGTATTGTGGAGCAGGAACCAGTGCTGTTTGCCACAACTATTGCTGAAAATATACGGTATGGCCGACCTGGAGTAACCACGGAAGAAATCATCCAAGCAGCAAAAGAGGCCAATGCTTATAACTTTATCATGGCTCTCCCACAGGTACACCTCTGGGTAATAATGAAATGTACATGCTGGTATTGGATTTTGCATAATTAAAAAAAAAAAACTAAAATACAATTTTGGATTGATTACACAGAGGTTTGACACTCTAGTGGGTGAAGGTGGAGGCCAGATGAGTGGAGGACAGAAGCAGAGGATTGCAATAGCTCGAGCTCTCATCAGAAACCCTAAGATCCTGCTGCTGGACATGGCCACATCAGCCCTAGATAATGAGAGTGAAGCTGTAGTACAAGAAGCTCTGGATAATGTCAGTTCTCTCAAAAGAAGACTTTAAAAAAATGTAACATTTCAACTTGCTCTGGGGAATGACAGCCAGATTTTCCTGCAGGTACGTGCAGGAAGGACAACCATCTCCATAGCCCACCGTCTCTCCACAATCAGAAATGCAGATGTGATTGTCGGATTTGAACATGGACGTGCTGTGGAGAGAGGAACGCACAGCGAGTTACTAGAAAAGCAAGGTGTCTACTTCACTCTTGTGACCCTGCAGAACCAAGGTTCATCCAACACACCAAATGGTAAGACATTTGACAGATATGACAGCAAATAAGATTAGAAAGTATCTATTTGTAAAGGCTTGTCAACTTTTTGACCATTAAAATGTCCCAAATTAGTGTTAAAGTCTAGAGCAGATAAAAAAGTTTTATATAAAAAGTGCAGGTTTAGAGATTAGTTAAATTAAGAATTAGCATACTTTGGTTAATTTAAATGATTTTGTTACTATTTAACCCAATGAATAAATAGCTTTTTATGATATTACTGTAATAAAGATATGATGATTCACTTTGGCAGAAGTCTTGGACAATATTTACTAGCTTGCTGTGTGGTGGGCAAAGCTGTGGAGTCTTTCAACTATTACTTAAAAGGGAGTGGAATAATACAATAACAAACCATTTGAGAATTGACTCAGATGGATGCGTGTTTGCATTTTGTCATATTGTGTTGTGTTTTGTTTTCAAATGCAGTAGCTGTGGAATTTCTAATGTACAGTTGAATGATATCATGAAAGAATATATTCAAGAGCACAATTATTAAGTTATTTTTTATGCCAGCCCTAGATTAGGGCTTTTATGAGATATAGTCCGATATCTGTGGAAATAGGTTCAGTGAAGCTCCAGGGTGGATGGACTGATGGACTGTTGGACACAAATGTTGTGAACCACAATGAACAACAGGATAATTCATCATGAAAACAGGGAGTGAGCAGTTTGTGAAAACCAAACACAGAAAAGCAACCACCTAAGAAGGAGAGTTATCAAAACATGACTGAACTTGAACAGAACAGAAATCTTTGCTCTTTGGAGGGCATAACATGCAAATATGATTGAAAAAGAAATATTGTTACAAAGTCTCTGAGTCAAAGCAGTTTTACCTTTAATACTACAGTTAGCACTCTGCACTGTATGTAATTAGATCTGTCTGCATGATTTGGATTGTATTGAAATACATTTGACTGATGTGAAGTGATTTGAGACCAAATAATTGAATATGAATTCAACCTCATTTTCTGTTATGTGCCTTGAGGGTGCAATAAATGTGTGTAATTACAGCTACATTACAACATTTGAGTTGAACTGAACTGAATTTCTTTCAGTTGAATAAATGGTACTATGCACACACATTGGGAGTAAATAGCAGCAGGTAAAGGGCAAGGTAATGATGATAAATCATTTCAGTGTAGGCAAAAAGTGAAACCAGCAAAACAAAACTATCAAAGCTGAAACAAACAAAGCAAAGATTTTCATTGTTAATCAGCAGACTGCATAATGACTGAGCAGCAGGACTTGTTTTATCACCTTCATCATATGTTTTCCTTTTCTTTTGTTATTTGATATTTACAGATAATCCCTGACCCATTTTTAAGGCTGGATGTAAAATAAGAATTTTTGCCTAGACAATGGTGAAAACATTACTCAAAAATGTTCTTTATTTTAGTGTGTCCACTGTAAACAGAAATGTAAAATGTAAACACAGCAATACACACACTCTTGATAAAACAAGCAGCTCTTATAGCATACAAGCCTAAACACACCCCACCGCCCTACCTTTTGCTGAGCAGGCTGTTGGTTTTTCTGTCATCCCTTTCCCAACCTAAAATCATCAGAGAACTGTGGATGGACCCAGAAGTAGGTGTGCATGTGGGAGAGCCAAAGAATCTCACAGAACTAGATGTGCTCTGCATAAAGAGTAAACAAAGCACAACGGTAAAACTCAGCTGGCATGACAGACTGTGTTGACTAATGGAAGTTGTTACATTACTTTTATTTCAAGATCATTTTCTTTGTTTGCTTTGTGAACATGTATAGAAGGAAGTTACAAATGATGTCATCGGTAGCTATGAAAAAGGTATTTGGATGCTCTGTGAGACTAGATCATTTGAACAGCCACTCAGAATAACACATCAATAAATCATAAAACCAATGCAACACATTATCACTATGTTGCATTGGTTTTTTCAATACAGGGTTAGGGGTAACAGGCGAAAATCTTCCGTTAGGTACACATGCCATTCACGCTTTTGGTTGAGGTGGCTTGAAACTTTCAGAGATGTTATAAAACTTCTTTGATTATTCTTGTTGCAGAAGTCATCACTGAGCCACAAGAGGATGATTTGGATCTAAAAGTGGAGTGTTTTAGACATGCAAGTTGTAAATCTACCAAAAGGTAAAAGAGATTGTACATTTCAATGAAATTAGCACTAGATTATCAACAGAAAATTGATATTCTCAATCTCAACCAGCAGGAGCTCTGTACGTCTGCGATCTCGAAGCTAATTGTCAATTGACTTTGTCCCAGATGCATTGTCCGGAAGTTTCATGATCCCTTCGGATCTCCAGATAACACCTGAAGATGTAAAACCCTCCATTTGTGATTAAGAACTTGCTAAATCTATGGCTAGACTCAGTTTAATACAGATCTGTCAACAGGTGAGAGAGGAAGGCCCTGAAAAGAATGAAGAGTCAGCTCCAGTTGCACGCATCCTGAAGTACAACCGACCTGAGTGGCCATACATGCTGTTGGGATCACTGGGAGCTGCAGTCAACGGCTCGGTCAATCCCATCTATGCAGTCCTGTTCAGCCAGATTCTTGGGGTAAGGACTCCTCCCGTGATGACTGTACAATAATGTCCTTTGTTACAAGTTGAGCTGGTTGGATTGGTTATCGTTAACAGATTGTTTAGTAAAGCAATTCTTTTTTAGATTTTCATATTCTGTGTTTTTTTTCAGACTTTTGCCGTTCAGGATTTAAATCAGCAGCAGGAAGAGATCAACGGGATCTGCATTCTGTTTTGCATTGTGGCTGTGATCAGTTTCTTTTCACAGTTTCTCCAGGTTATTTATATTGCTCTTAAGAATTATGCAAATTGTCATAACGTGTTTATAAAAATGTGCACACGTGTGGAATCTGCGCTGATGCTAGTTGTTAGAAAATAAACATTTTGTGGATTTTTTTTTGCAAACTCCATAAATTTAAATACAAACCCAAGAAACATAACAAAAGAGCACATGTATGCTTATTGAACAACAGATATTGCTAGCAATTTTTAAAAATTGGAAAATTTGAAAGTGAAAATTTGAGAAGATATAAAATAATTCATTTTAATATTTAAGGCTCATCTAATTGCATGAAATTTGTATTTTAACAGACATATGTTCCGTTTTGAGAGATACTTTCCTCGAATCCATCCATCCATCCATCCATCCATCCATCCATCCATCCATCCATCCATCCATCCATCCATCCATCCATCCATCCATCCATCCATCCATCCATCCATCCATCCATCCATCCATCCATTAAACAATCTACATATATCACAAAATAAAGAGATTCTTGAAACAATTCCTTAAAGTATGCATTGAAACAGAGTAAATAAAAAACATCAGCTTTCAAACACTGGCTCACATTTGTTTTTTTTAGGGTTATGCTTTTGCTAAGTCTGGAGAGCTGCTGACCCGCCGTCTGAGAAAAGTGGGCTTCCAGGCCATGCTCAGACAGGAAATTGGCTGGTTTGATGATCCCAGGAACAGTCCTGGGGCTTTGACAACCAGACTGGCCACAGATGCATCCATGGTGCAAGGGGTAAGTTTTTGTCTTCAGGGTTGTATTTATTTTACTTATTGGGGTGTTATTTTAGGATGGTGAGTATAGTCATGACTAAAATTATTTCTGCAGGCAACAGGTTCCCAGATTGGCATAATTGTGAACTCACTGACCAACATTGGAGCCTCGTTCATCATTGCCTTCTACTTCAGTTGGAAGTTAACATTAGTTATCATATGCTTCCTGCCTCTTATTGGGCTGTCTGGTGCGTTCCAAGCCAAAATGCTGACAGGATTTGCAAACGAAGATAAAAAATCTATGGAAGCAGCAGGTCAGGTAAGCTGCTGTTCCTTCCCAGTACCAAACCAGATCATTCATTACTGAGCTGATATTTTGCTGTGAGATTGAGAGCTACAAATAGTGTCTGTCCTATAGGTATCCAGTGAGGCTCTTGGCAACATCAGAACCATTGCAGGTTTAGGCAAAGAGCGCTCATTTGTGGAATCGTATGAGCAAAAACTGGAGCTGCCTTTTAAATCTGCCAAGAAGAGAGCCAACATCTATGGCCTATGTTTCGGTTTTGCACAGTGTGTAATCTTCATGGCATATGCTGCTTCTTTTAGATATGGAGGTTACCTGGTCAGAGTTGAAGGGTTACCCTACATGCTGGTGTTTAGGTTGGTTAGACCCATGGTAATTTAAAAATATATATTTTAATATCATCCTTGTGTTTATTCTGCTCTCTTGCAAACTGTCCCTAGAGTGATTTCAGCCATTGTGATCAGCGGAACGGCACTGGGCAGAGCTTCCTCCTTCACTCCAGATTACGCCAAAGCCAAAATTGCTGCTGCTCAATTCTTTCAACTGTTGGACAGAGTTCCTAAAATCAGCATCAACCAGACAGATGGACAGAAATGGGTCAGTGGGTTTCAAATTTTTAAATACAATTTTTTGCATTTTGTGAGTGTGTATTTTAAGAACAACCTTACCCATTCATAGGAGATATTCAAAGGAGAAATTGAGTTTCATAATTGCAAGTTTACATATCCGACAAGACCAGACATTCAAGTGCTGAGTGGCCTGGTTGTTTCGGTGAAGCCGGGACAGACTTTGGCTTTTGTTGGGAGCAGTGGCTGTGGTAAAAGCACCAGCGTCCAGTTACTGGAAAGGTTTTACGACCCAGATGAGGGACAAGTGGTGCGTGTTGGTCAATTTACATGTAAACAGCACAAAATACTTTTAAAAAAATCATTTTGGTTAAACTGTGCTATTTTATTTACAGTTAATTGATGGTCATCCATCCCATACCATCAATGTTCCCTTCCTGAGGTCTCAGATTGGCATAGTGTCACAGGAACCAGTTTTATTTGACTGCAGCATAGCAGAGAACATCCGATATGGTGACAACACTCGCACTGTTGCCATGGAGGAGGTTGTGGAGGCTGCCAAGAAGGCCCATCTTCATAACTTTGTGATGGGTCTACCACATGTGAGTGGAAATGCCTCTTTTTAATAATGATGTTTTTAAAATAACTACTGTAGTTATCATATTATTATGTTCATTTAGTGAATAAACTGAACAAAAAACTTAGTCATGTCCTGGTTAATGCCAGTTTTGTATGATGAAGACTGTAATGTCAAATCTTAATTTGAGGGTTAAAATGTTTTTTCTTTTTCTTTTTAAGTCAGTCAACAACTGGAAAGAGTAGTTGTCTATCAGGTGAAAAATTAAGGATCTGACTCCAACTTTTTGGCCTTCCACATGTTGATGTGATCCTAGGCTAAGCATTTAACCCCATCTTGCCCATCAATTTGTTTATGAGACCATGTGTGCACCTTCATTAGTGAAACTTGGTGATTGGATGTCTAATACCAAACAGTATGATTAGAAATATTCTGTATAAATTCATCCCATATCATTCTAATGGATTTTTTATTTGATTCAGACCTACACAATGCTTTTGGTTATATAAAAACAAGCATCCCTTTTTTTTCCTGTTACTTCAACTTTATACTATTTTGTCTTGGTCTGTCACATAAATCAGAATGAAATACATTGAAGCCTGGCGCTAACATGTCACAAAATATAAAAGTTGAAAGGGTATTTCTACGTATTGATGAGTTATGGAGAACAAACAATAATCATGTTAATTTTTCATTCTCTTTACCACTTGAAAACACTGGTAGAAATATGAGACTCAGGTTGGTGCCCAGGGCTCTCAGCTATCAAGGGGACAGAAGCAACGCATTGCTATTGCTAGAGCGATTATCCGAAACCCCAAGATCCTGTTGCTAGATGAGGCGACTTCTGCTCTGGACACAGAGAGTGAACAGGTGAAGAAAATAATAATAATAATAATAAAACATTAACAAAAGAGATTCAACTAAACAAAGTACATTTTCTGATATGCATTAAAAATACCCTTGCATGAAACCCCAAAAGTATTTTGTCTTGATAGAGCTTTGTTTATCTGCAGACTGTTCAGTCTGCATTGGATGAAGCAAGAAAAGGACGGACCTGCATTGTCATTGCTCACCGGCTCTCCACCATCCAGAATGCAGACATTATAGCAGTAATGTCCCAAGGAGTAGTCATCGAACAAGGCACACATGATAAACTCATGGCTAAGAAGGGAGCATATTACAAACTGGTCACAACAGGAGCTCCGATCAGCTAATCACTTGGAGCAACAAACAGTATTGAGAATCTTTGATAAACTAAATCAGTATATCACTATGAATTCAATGATGCTGTGGTGAGTGCATGTTTTAAATTAGAAGGTAATTTCTAAACTAGAGAAAACAAAACATTAGATTTTGAACTTTGAAAATCTCCAAACCACATAATATTACAAAATTTGAAGATGTGCCTTTTTAAAATATTTTTTCCTTCTCTTTTCTTTTTTATTATTTTAATTCCTACATGCCTTTCAGTACATATTGACCAAATCATCTTTTGGTTGTAGTGCCTATACATCAATATTTACATTATTATCATCAGTACTATTTTAACTTTCATCATAGTTAAGCTGTGACCACAGCTAGCCTCATCTTTGTGACTGTTTTTGGGACCCATGCCAGCCTGGATTCTCTTAGACAACTTTAATTAGCACAGAGTTACAAATCACATCAAATCATTGCTATGAAGCTCAAAATTGAGTTGTTTCTACTGATCATTCTTGAGATGTTTCTACAACTGAAATGGAGTTCACCTCTGGTAAATTAGACTTGATTTGAAAAGGGACACATCTGTTTATATAAGGTCCCACAGTTGACAGTACATGTCACAAGCATAAAATCACAGGAGTTGTCTGTTGTCCTCCAAGACGTTATTGTCTTGAGGCTCAACTATCTGCTGTTTTGAAGGTTTGAATGATCAGTGGCCTCTACTTAATTTGTCCAGAACACTGACACAAATATGATATACCACCTGCCATAAACATGAAGGAGTCTGCATTAATGTGTATAGCTGTTGTCATGAAGTGTCAGTTGCTAAATAATGACACTTTTAATGCAAAGTTAACATTTAATGAACTTTTGATGCAAGTTTTAAATCAAACTTGCTTTCAAAGTGTTGTTATTTACCAAATGACACTTCTTGACAACAGTCATAAACATTCATAAAGATTCCAGGAGTTATGTCATGTTTATGACACTGCCTTTGAAGTTTTATTCACACCCCTTCAAATAAAGTGTTAGCAAAGCCGTTCCTTAACAAGAGCTTCATGGCGTCTTGTCAGGAGTTTGCCCAAAAAAAATAATGTGAAAGACTTTCTGACCATGAGTAACAAAATTCTCTGGTCTCATGACCCAAAAGTTGAACTCTTTGCGGTGAAAGTTAGGCTCACCTTTTCACCAGGCCAATATCATACCTACAGTAAAGCATAATGGTGACAGCATCATGCTATGGGGATGTTTTGCTGCAGCAGAAACTGGCAAACTAGTCAGGGTAGAGAGTAGATGAATGCAGAAATGTACACTACAATGACATCCTGGGCCCAGAAACCTGAAGTTTTTTTAAGCTTTAGCAAAGAGCCTTCTCTCTCAAAGTAGTTACATCATTCAGCAGTGGGCCTCAGGTGCAGCCGATGCTAAGCAACCAGAGACTGTGAGAAAAGACGAAATGGGTCTCTACGCAGGAATTTAATTATCCATTTAATCTGGTTACATCAGAGACTCTGTTCTGCATCATCACTTTTAAATTGATTAATATCTGAATTTTCCCGGAGAAACTGCTAAGAGACACACAAGAGATTATGAAATGCACCCTGAGCAGGATGCACACATTGACAACGCAAACAGAGAGAATTATGTGTGTGATTCTGTTAATTTAACAGTCAAGGACTTAAAGATGCATGAATGTTTGTTCATATGTTCCAAAGAGAAACTTTATAGTGTATTCATGTTTTAATATTGTATTTGAATTTTTATAACCCACATAACAAAATATTATGCTAGTTATCTCCAATCTGCATCTTTTGTAAGAAGTGTTCACAAGAAATTTTGATTGATGCAGAGAAGGTTTTTCTTTTCAAAGTTAGAAAGTTGTTTTTCAACAATTAACCAATTATTTATTTGATTCATTTTGTGAGTTAAACACAGATATTTATAAATTGACAAACTCCTTCTAAAGTGATTAAATCATCATGGTGTAGGGTTGTACATAAATCATTTTAATTATTGTAAGTTAGATTAGCCTTCCTTTCAAAATACTGTAGATATAATACCAAGAACATAAACTTGAGAAATATTCTCATTATGACTGGGATCAAATGATACAAATGTATTATTTAAACTAAAAAAAATATATTTTTTTCCCCACATGAATTGCAGTTTAGTGCTTCTGTGTGTGCAATAACAGTCAATCTTCATTTTCTACAAATTATAACAAAATGTATTGAAAACAAGTGTTGCAAATAAAACAAAAACAGTCCTTTAATTTTCTAACAGAGTTTTCTCTCATCGTCTTTGATAAGCATACAAACACAATAAGGTATTACAGCAACAACGCCAACAGGAACTGAAGTACTTTTGCAAAATGACAGTACGTAAAACAGAGCCTCGCTGTGATTTGGCATCTTGATGAGGTCAAACAGCTGCAGGATGGTGAGATTTGCAGTCATGCATAAGAGTTTAAATACAGCATTGCAGCTGTTTTTTTCCTTACAGCTCTGAATGAACATCTCAGAGTTCACCGCAAGTCCTAGACCAAACAAGGCTCCCAGGTTCCTGCATAGTCCGGCAAACGGTGTGGTGTCCAGATGGATCCAGTCTGGGTTTGCGCACCACATCTTGGCTTTGGCAACCGACCATAACGGATCAAAGTCCAGAAGCTTTAGGAGCAAGTAAAAACAAATAGCAAACGAGAGAAGAAAAACATTGACAAGGAGGTACCGTTTCAGGCTTGCATTATAGATCCAGGTAATGTGGTCAAAGGCTTCAGCAACAAGCATACCTAAACATTGTAGAAATTAGAAAAAAAGATTGTCATCTCAAATGTATAGCACATCTGATACGTGTTAACATGTGATAACTGAGCAGAACGTACCAATGACGAGACCGAGAACAACTTGATGAGGGAAGTGAGTTGCAATGAAAACTCTGGAAATGCAAACACTTATCTGAATGACCCAGAAAGCTGTCCACAGAATGGACCTCACAAGATGAAATCTGCAAAAACAAACAAAAAAAAAGTTAGATGTTTTGATATAAAACCTGCTTCTGACTTTGTGAAAGCATCACGTAAATGTCCACCTTTGAAAGCTCCAGAAAGAGGAAACACAAGAAGACCTGGCGAAGGCTAGAGCAGAAGTGACCATCACATACCACACACATGATGAGCCCATAGCGTGACCAGAAGGACTGCCTGTAAAAACATAAATCAATGAAAGTGTTTTTTGAACAACATTTTTAAACTCAATACAAACCTACTTACCAGGTCCTGTTTCACACGTAATGTGAAACTGATCCAGATGTGACTTTGAGCTGTTCTGGAACAAGTGGGTTTCATGAACCCACCAATAAGGTCTCTGTCCATACAGAATCCTGAGTAAGAAGATGCTAGATTTAAATTTGTAAGCTAACACTTTAAAGATAAAATGCCAACATCTGAGTAGACTTACCATTTGAAAATAAGATTGAACCAGTCTCCAACAACAGCCACCCATATCATCTTGGTGCCAACATTATGGTTGAGATGGAACCAGAGAGGGAAATAGACATAGAAAATATTTCGAGGGTCACCCACTATTGACATGAAGCTGAAGAAGTTGTTGTATTCTCGGTAGTTGTTCTGCAGATGCTGTATAATTAGGACACCTGATGTATGAATAAAATCCATCATGTTTCCTTTCTTAGAGAAGCTGGTTTCTTTCCAGCATCAGTCAAAGCAGCATTATGATGCCCGACCTCTCTTTGCAACTCTTTTATATTGCAAACTTGGCATCACAAATCATTCATCAAAGCCATGGAAACAAATTGTACAAATTGTCTGAGCTCATATGGAATATAATAATGTGTTCCCAAGTCATCAGAGGTCAGCATTTTAAGACATGTTTAAAAGACTGTGTACAATATGACAGTGTCATTAGGATATTTCCCAGAACATAGCTTGTACAGATGTTAAATATTAGCCACTGCAAACACCAGGAGAGAGAGAGAGAGCACTTCCCGTAACCTTCTGCACCACTTCAGCCTGATTAATACAGTCATTTTCAGTGACCATAGCAATAAAATGGGCTTCCCTTTAAAAACAGAGCCCATCTGGTCTCCTCTGTTGAGGTTACTAGGTGCAATGATTCTCAGAGGATTTCTGATTATAAAGTTAGATTTCTTAAAAGTCCCAGTTATATTCGGTACTGAGTTGGAAACTTAGCGTCATTAGCCAACCGTTTTGTAAGCTCATATTTTTTCCCAATCTATTAACCCCATGTATAGGACCTCTCAAAAAGCAATAGAATATCCATTGTTACTCCACTGACCCCTTTATCCCCATCCCCAAAAGGCTTATGTTGCCCCCAGATAAAATGACATCCTTCAATAGTCTTCAATAGTCTGTTTTTATAATTAATAGTTGTAAGTACTTGAAATACACTCCGGGTGTAATGAATCTGTGTGAAGTTTCTCATTTTCGCCACCAGGAGGAGTATGAGATCCTTGAGCTGCATGGCTTTTTTTCAACAAAAAATACCGATAAAAATAATAATAGTTTGGTAAGTAAAAACACGAACGAAGCACATCATCTTGCGAATTTCCAGACGTTATGAAACTGAGTTAAACATCATTTTTAAAAGGGTGTCAAATTGAAAATGCGTCATTTCCGGCGTACAGTAACCGCCCTCTGTGTACAAACCGCGGATTTTTGAACGTTGCTATTGTTATTGCGATAATTGGTCAGACCGACAGTCTTTAGTTACACTCTTAAACAGGTGAGTAATAAATCCATGTCCAGACAAACTGACACCGTTTGAACAAATAGCCGAATTTGTGTCACGGTAATGCTGAATGGAGGTAAACTACATTATGGCTAAAAAGCTGATGATTTTACCTAGTTAGCATAGCTGCTAACATGCTAACATTGGCATTATGAGCAACCGTAAGATGTCACGTATATATGTTAAAAATTCAAACTGCTGTTTGTGTTTTCATAACTAGCTGCAATCTAATTTCACATGCTAACATATCGTGCTAAAGTCATGAGACGAAACACATTTTCAGGAATAAAACAACGGTTTTTGTCTGTTTTCTTGTCCTGAAGATTAACCCTTCAGTTACTCCAAATAACGCGGTCTTTCTGTTTTTAATGGTAAAATCTTTTTGAGACATTTTCTTTTAATCAATGACTGGTTTTATTTTTCTACTATATTATCTGAGACTTGCCCTTCATCACGATGTGTGCATTTCCCCCGAGCTCTTGTATCTTCCTCGTTTACCATGAATGATTGTTGTTTGTACATATTTTACAAGAAAAACTGTACATTTAGCTGCCAGAGATTTTTTTTATTACAGAAGAGATATTATCGACCATCTAGTTATTCTGATTCTGTTGCATAGAAGTGAGCCCTGATGTATTGAGACTTTTAGGCAACCTGTTTAATGTGAGGAATATTAGGGTTGCACAGTCATTCCCACAAGATATTGCAAAAACAAAAATATGAGCTTTATTATGTAGTTCTAATAAACATTTGATGATTTAGTTTGTATTTTTCCGCCTCACTTTCAGCCTTAATCTTATAGATGTCTGTTAAATTAATCCTCATTACCATAATATCCAATTGGTTAAAACGTGCCGGGTTTGTAGTGCATAAATCCATGTTGATTCTTGTTTTGCTATGATTAATAAGTTGCTTTTTGTTTTTCAGAAATTACAGATTGTGTCAGAACATTATGACGTCTGTTACCGACCCAAGCATGAGTGACAGGTTCACCAGTTCATTGGAGGAGATCCACAATAATCACCTTAAAGCATATGCAGAGATAATTGACACAATTTCAGAGTTCTCTCACGATCACAGAGAGTTTGTAAAATCTGCTGTTGGTAAGTTTCAGTGTATTAATCATGTTTTTGTGGGCATTATATGTTTAATGAAATGCCCAATTTGATGAAATGCCCAATTTTATCAAACATATAATTAATAAAATATGATACAAATATAAATAAATTGATCAAATCAAAAAGTTTGTATAATAATGGTTAGATTTTTTAAAGTGTTTTTGGACACTCAAAGATGGCTTTTGTTAAGGTACATAAATTATATCTGAGCTACCCAAATATCACTTGTGTTTCATAAAGTTGCTTCTGTTCCTTCAAAATAGATATTTTCCAAGATTAAGAAATGTAGAGCTCTCTGTAAAGAGAGAAACTTTGTAAATCAATAGAGTTGACAAAGCCTAAACTTGGTGTTCCCCAGCTAGTTACTGAAATGAATCTTAATTTAACTTCATTTTTCTCCTACTTTTTATTTCTCGGCACAGACACATGTTTGAAGAAATGCAAGGATGACAAGAAGCTGTTTGAGACCATACAGGAATTTAAAACGGGTAAGTTTGTTTCCCGAGCCGCCATGTTGTTGTGCAATTCTAGAGTGAGCATTCTCCCCTGATTTCTTGTTCCAGCAGTTTAAGGGAAAAGGACAATATTTGAAGTGCATCCTCAAAACATTCAGTTTGCTTGCATCTCATTGTTTTGACACATTGTCTCTGCAGACCTGGAGAAAAAGAAAATGGCACTGAAGGAGAAACGGCACGCCATATCAGAGGTGATGTCTGAGGTTGAGGAAAAAGAGATGCAGAAAGAGGACATCATCCTAAAAATTCAGAAGTATAAAGAAGAGCAAATGAAGAGAAAACACTGTAAGATGACTTTTTTACAGTTAAAATAATAATTATAATTAATAAGTTAACATGTGATGTAGCTTACATTGATCTATCTCACTTATGCTCCCTATTTTAGTAATCGAGTCTCAGAATAGAGCAAACAAAGACAGACTGAGAAACCTCCAGAAAGCCAGGCTTGTTTTCCAGGATCATTTGGGGCTGGAGATTCGAACGATTATCGACAAGTCGCAGATGGTCAAAAGTAAGCCAAGCAGACTAAAATCAGCACTTTCTAATACTATTCCACAGAGTTGGAGAAAATTGTTGTCTCCCCTCTATTTTCTCAGGTGACTTGTTTTTAGGACTTTACACTAAAGGAACAGTATGATGAAAAATTCAAGCGTTTTTTTTTTTTTTTTTTTTTTTTAAGCCATATCCATGCCAACCCTCGCATACTAATTGATTTCTACAATTGGATGGGGGGGGACATCTACATACCTAAAATGTCAGCAAGCTACACAGTGTGACAGCCTCATGTGATTGTGCAAAGAATCCATATTTCTCCTTTTTTATGTGCTAGTACTATTACAGGGTTTTCAAAGAATGTGTTGCCTTGTGGGCATTTGGTGGACTCAGAATAATTTTTATGTGTCCCTACCATACCCTCACAAATGGTTTTAACTTGACATTATTGGACTCTGTTGCTCCAATGCGTCTGAGATTTTGTTGGTGTCTGACTTTCATACCAAGATGTTTAAATAGTAACACCTTCAAAATTTATATAAATTTTTTATTATATTGTTCCGGCTTTTAAAATTGTCAAGGTACTGAAGGACGTGATGAAAGGACTGATGTTGACTGTGGCTGTATGGAGCATAGAGTAAAGCAGTGCTCCCCCCCCACCTGTTGCTACACAATGCTAATGGCTATGAAACATTTTACTTGCACCTAGTAGCACTTTGTTGAACTTGAAGAAATTTAATTTCTGCATAGTCGCCATTTGAAAACTACTAATAATTGTAACATATTTTTGCTCAGGTTTAGAAGTCATACTCAAATAGCAAAAAAATAAATGAAATATATCACTGGGTTCCAAATATATATGTCATCAGTTTGATTTCATCTTTCTGTGATAATTCAAGACCTGATAATGCTGCAAAAAATCTATTGAATTAAAGCAAAGGCCTTGCCTCTGTCCTTGCGTGTTGCCATGGTGATGTGATAAATTAGTTGAGTTAATTGCCTCTTTTCTCCCACCTCCTCTAACACACAATCAAGACTGAATCTCTTCATACAATCCTTGGATTACTTTATTTGGCCAACTTTCTGAATCACAACTTTCAAAAATAAATATTACAGAAGTTGTTTAGTTTTGCTTTTGACTTTTTTAATAGGTGAAAAGTTGCAGTTTATTTTCCGAAACATCAGTCTCTCTGACCAGGACAGCGCTTACGTCATTACAATGGGAATTAAAGAAAATGGATCTTACCAGAGTAAGTCACACAAATTTTCTGTAAAGTTTTGCAAATTTTATATATATATATAAAAAAAACACATTGATTCTTCTAATAGCTAGTAACAAACTATTGAATATTTACAGTTGTGTCCAGCGATCCGGCGCTCGAGAGCTTGCCAATCTTGGAAAGCCAACTCCAGGAGACCAATAATTTACCAGCATTCCTGGCCAATGTCAGAAAGGAGTTCATCTCTAAGGCTCGCTCCTGAGATGTCACGGTATGCTTACAAAAGGCAGCGGCGTTTCTTATGCAATACAGACTGAAGGAAAGGATGGTTACATAAAATATGATCAAAGGGGGACACCTAATCTATAACCAAATTGTCAACTTTGTTAAGATGATGACTGCTTTTCAATTTCTGAGATGTTTTTTCTACTCAAGTTCTGCCTCGTGCAAAATGTACATATTAGATCTGCAACACGTGATGTCAAATAACTAATCATTTAAACGGAAGCAGTTTTCATTTATTTTTGTTTTAAAATCAGTGCTCATTTTACAAACATCAGGAATATCAATGTTTTTTCCCTTGTGTATATTATTTTCTGTCTATTGTAATAAATACATGTTTTTAAACATATTCTCACTCTGAGTTTTGTCTGCACATGTAAAAACATTTTGTTATAAAAGTCCACAAACATCATTAATGCTAAACAAACAAAAAAATCATAAATGAAGATTGTCAGAAGATGAAGTATTTCAAAGTATAATTCTTTTCAGACTTGGATAAAATATCCCATATGCAGATTTCAAATGTTGAGGCTTTTTATTTTTCTTTTTTCAGTCCAGTCATTCAGGCATCAGATGATTTGCTGGTGTTCATAATAGGTAGCTCCTCAACATAGGTTGATGGGAAATGGCCTTTTTGTTCATTAAGAGCTCCAATCCACCAGCCATTTTCTTCCTTTTTATAAATGTCCAGAATGTCACCTGAGAAACATATTTTTTCAGTTAAGAGTTCAGTTATTTCCATGATCAACTTTAAGGGAACAGCTTACCTTCTTTGAAAGTCAGTTCGTCTTTGTGTTCAGGTGTGAAATTATACAGGGCTTTGCATTTTCCGATGCTGCACAGCATGGCTGGTGTTTGATCTGTTAAATATATTATACATTTAACTTGACATGTAATCAGACAATAAATCGAAAACTGTTCTGTGTTGTGCTGAAAGAATGACCGTCTGCTTTGTTATCATCTCTGGAAGGCTGAGCTTCATTTCCGGTGCTTCCACTGCATTCTGCCGACTCCTGAGTTGGTGGTGTGGAAGTGATCTGGTCAGCAGTGTTTGGTTCTGGCTTTACGGCTGGTTCTGTTGGAACTTGAATCGGTCCTTTATAAATGACGGAAGCCCTTAGTGATTGTTGGCTCCTTAACGGCATCTTTCGGAGTTTTACTGGACGGGTCAACTGAATAATGCTATGCTCACAGTCCTTAGAGAGAGAAAAAAAAGCAGACCTCCATTTTTCCTTTTTAAAAGGAAGACTAAAGAAATGTGGATTAACTGTGTTGATGATCTCAAATAGTGATGCTGGCTTTAGGAAATAATTGACATTCTGGTCTGTAACTGAAAATCAATCAGCTAGAATTTTGTGTAAAAGTTTCAAGGCATTCCATATTTTTATTTTTTTTAATTCTTTGGAATTCTCAAAATTTTATTTTTGTATTTTTTTTATTTTATTTTGTGTTCTGAATTTTATTCTTCAAGCATTGAGAGTTTACTGCACTATCTGTAGTGTTCAGTTCATGGTGGTGTCTTGACATTTTGCTGATCAGGTGAAAATGTCAATTCATTTAATTTTCACCTGATTTAATTTAACTCAGTATTATCGGAAACAAGGTTGTCTGAGTATTGTTAAAAAAAGGGGTGTGGTTTATAATAATTCAATATTGTATAACATATTATATATGTTTTGCATTTATTGTTTACAGTTGTCTTAATATTGAACCTTCTCTGTGTAGCCGGAATGTGGGTCAATCTGTTTTTTGAATATGTTTGCTTTATTTAGCTGGCTTTAATAAAGTCAAATTTGTTTGTATTTCATACAAATGCTTTTATTTTACAACAATCTTACCTTATCTTTCCATTTAAAAATGCTGCTACCAAATTGTTTAGATGTCTTGGGTGTCTCATCAAATTCAGAGAGGCATAATGAGAGTTTGTAATGAGTGGCCTCCAGGAGGTCCAGTTTGAGAGTATTCTGCAGGAAACGAATGGCATTAGTGAGTACTTGAGTCTATGTCCCCCCCACCACCACCACACACACACAAACACACACACACCCCTTCCGTAAAGTACGTCTTTGGGAGCATTTTTGCTCACTTCCTCTCAATTACCTCATCACGGAGCTCCTCAGTTTCCTCAAGGTTCTTCTGATTTGAAAAAGATGAATCTTCAGTGTAGGTTTTTATCAGTTTTTCAATTCCTGTATAATAATATTCAGGCATTAGAATGATACCACATAACCGCTTTATGAGTCACTTGTACATTATTACATATAGTTATTGAGCTACCTTCACATTCTTTTTTGGTCTTAGTAATGTTTTCTTCGAGACGCTGGAGTTTCAGTTTGATTGCATCTCTTCTTCTGTCTTTGGTCATCAGTGATTTGCTATCCTCCTCCTGAACAAACAGGGTAATTAATATATAATTTCACAAGTTATAAGCTTTAGGTGGCAATTAGTGTTTCACATGGTTGATTTAGATTCGTTTTCCCCATCATTAAACACTATAGCAATTAAAAAAACTGCATTTTATATGTGTTGATCTTTGTCACATAACATGCCTGATCTAAAATATTAAAGTGTGAAAAAACAGAAGAAATTCTTTGCAAATCACCAAAAATTAGGCTTACACTAAGTTTTTGTTGTACATGCAGGTTTACGGTGAAACTAAGGGTTTGTTTCGAATAAACCTCACTGTTCAGTAAAGCCTCATTCTTTTACTGATGAACAGTAAAGGTGTGAGGGGGCTACATCCTTAATGCTAGAAATACTATTTAATAACACCCCAAGTCGGGTCTATCCATCTAGATTAAATCATAAAATGGATAGAGCGAGATGCCCAGTTGAAAATAAAATGTTAAAAGTATGTAGAGCATTGTCACTTTGATTGTACTGGCTGTATTTTTTGGGGAAGTTATAAAAATCAGATGGAAATTATTTCTATCTACTAAGGTATCTTTCATTCAAACAAACAATAAATGCACAACAAAACAACAAACTTACAAAATAATCAGCCATCAAAAACTCTATTTTGTTGTCTTCATTTGTGTTGCCAATTTCTTCCATCAGGGTTTGTATGTCTTTATCCACGTCCACCCTTTGGGCAGTCTGCTCTATCTGCTTTTGACCCTGGAATGAGCAGTAGTTGCTGCAGGTTAACGCGTGTTCTTTCAGAGATTGTATTTGTGATTAGGATGCATTAAAGAGTTTCTTACATGCTTAAGTGTTTGACTGAAAGTGGACATGTGGAGGTTATATTTGCTCAAAAGGTTGCACAGAACTTCAATTCGATTTTTCTCTAGCTCTTGTGTGACCTAAGCAAAGCAGAAAGAAATGATACATTCATTAACAAACTCATTATTAGCATCACTCTGATTTGAAAAAGATTAACCTAGTAAGGTGTTTTTCCACCTGACAGCAGTTTTTCAGAGTGTTTTGCAACTTCAGTCTCATCTGATGGCCCTCCATGTTGACACTATAGTAATGTTCATCCACTCTGGACTGCTGCTCTGCTGACTTAGTCAGTCTGTTATACATCTGCTGAGAAAACACATGCAATTTCAATCTTCTACAGATATATTGATAGCTTTTCAAAAAGTTATTCTTTTAGATCTTTGGTGAGATAAAAGCAGTTTGTGAACAGTATTCCATACCTTCTGTTTTTCTTTCTCTGTGCTGATGTGCTTGTTGTTTTCTAGGTAGTTGAAGAGTGCCTCGTGTTCTTTTGTCAGCCCATGCAATCTTTTTTTCAGCTGTTTTAGTGCAGAGGAAACCAGGAGAAACATAACATTTTATTAGTTCAACTTATTGCTAGCAGAGTATTGAGAATCTGTTGTTGAATCAGTGAAGAAATGTGACTGACAAAAGTTGAGTGCTTTTTTAAGGCATCTGTAGGCTGCTCCAAAGAGAGAATGGCATAAAAAGGTCCAACAGGGGGAGCAAAATATCTGTTTACTTAGGGACAAAAAGCACTTCTTAAATCAAATAAAACTTTAAGAATTTCATCTTACATTTGTAAAGAGTGCTGTACGAATAATTGTAGGGGTTATGGTTATAGGAGCTCATGTTGCATTCCGTCAGTTTCTGTGGAATGTGATGTTTTTTGTGTCTTTTTATTGCAGACATCTGTGATGAATCCACCTTTTTTTTGTTCTGAAAGGTAACATGGGACTGTCAACATGAATAATGAGGTTATAAAGATTGTACAAATGACCACACCTGAGACAAGTCATAGGTAAATAAAGGAGGGATTAATCTTTGAACTGTGATGTTATTCTTTTCCAAGGTTACTTTCCATTGAAACAGAACATGATGCAATTCTAAAGATTGCTGTTTCTTTTAGTTGAAGCTCACAAAATCACTTGAGTGCTAGTTTCAACTTTAAATTTCCATCCATCCATCCATTTCGTGATCATCCTTCTCCCTAATGGGGTCGGGAGTTGCTGGTGCTCAACTTTAAATTACTTTTCTCAAATTTAAAAAGTTTACACACACTACTTCAGTATTTTAAATTCTTCTTCAGATACATGACTTCCATCAAACATTTAGGATTCCTTCCACAAACTTCTCACTATTGTGAGAGTTTGCTGGAACTTTGGCCCACTTCTCCTGGCAAAACTGATGAATCACAGTTAGGTATGTTGGTTGTGTTGCTCTCACCTTTCAACTTTGCCAACAGTTGTATAAGGTATCGAGGCTCATGAAGGACACTCCAAAACATTATCTTTAATTTCTATGTACATCCTTGCAGTTAGGTGCTGTCAGTCAGATGCATTTTATTTATTTGTCATCAGCAGATTTGATCACCTCTAAAAAATCACTGGTTTTGAATAATTTGCTGGTCTGTGTGACACAGATATTTGTTAACACAACAGTAAGAATAATTTGCGACCTCAGCAATGACTTTGAAGAAGCAATCGTTGCTGCCTGTTCATCTTGGAAGATTTTTGAAGTCCATCCCTCTGGAAAGAGGACATCTTGGCAATTTTACCCAACATTGCTT